GGAGGGGGGGGGGATCCGCGACGATATGTTAATCGGAAGAAAGTTAATCGACGCGTTTCCGCACGAATAAGCATCGTTTACTGATCTCACGCGATGAGCGTAAAAGCGTCTTTTTACGTCGAGAAACGTAAATCGCGAGAGAAACAATCTTAACTGTAACACGTGCGTGCTGTAAGTTGCACGGTAAGTTGCGCAATAATGGCCCGACCGTCTGGGATCAATTACTTCTAAATTCAATGACTATATATTTTCTGAGACGCTTATTTGTAACGCTAATGCGTTCCGTCTTACCGAGTCCATTCACGCCCTGCTATACATTATGTCGAATAGGTATTGTACCTAGGTAGATGGAAGAAGCGCTCGCCACTACAACTCTCAATGCGCCGGGATATATATCTCACTAAGCTGACCGTACTATATCAGGTGTACGTGATCTGTTTGCATTGACGCATTAGTTGAAAGAAGAAGTTAGACGATGTGTGTGTATATATATATATTATGCACATATATATCTTACGTATATATAATTACGTTTGCACGGAGAAAAACGATTTTGCTGAAGTATATAAAAATGAGGCCAGATACAGATCTGAAAATAATTATGTTGGGGATACTCCATGATAATGTTGCAAAAAGTTTTGCAGATAGATACATTCTAGTAACTAGCTTGAGCGCTTATAATTATTTAAATAGTAATATAATTATTTTTAGACCTAGCTAAATTTTTAGATATTTCAGTAAACTCATTCTTTCTATGTATGTACGTGTATAATTATATATATATATATATATATATATATATATGTATACAGGATGTTTATAAAGTCCCACCCGGGCCTAATATCTCGGAAACGGCTTTAGATATGGAAAAATGTTTCAAACAAAAGTTATTGTTTGACTTCAAGGCGGACATAAAATGGTATCATTGGTTTGACTTTGGGTGGCGCTGTCAAGATCAGGGAAAGGTTACTTCAAATTTTTTTAATGGAACCCTCCTCTCATTTTTTATTGCATATTCTTGTAGCTTATCTCGAGAGCTTTTAAAAACACATAGATAAAATATTTTTTGATTAAGTAAATTTTTAGTTATGAAGTTATGAATAAAATTTGCAGTACCGTTGCCATTGGCATTATTCAAGGTGTCCGAACACTGGCTAAAATCTTTTGAATGTTGTTCAGGATTATAACTTTGATAAAACATGTGAAGATCATAACCATTGGAGATTGTTTCTCTTTTTTTTTAAATAAAAATAATTTTCAAAAATGAAAATAAAAGCAACAACTTTTAATGGTTTTTAATGGCCTTGATTTTTACATGTGTTGTCAAATTCATGATGGCGGGTTCCATTTAAAAAATTTGAAGTGACCTTTCCCTGATCTTGACAGCGTTATCCAAAGTCAAACCATTTTATGTCCCCCTTAAAGTTAAACAATTTTAGTTTGAAACATTTTTCCATATCTAAAACCGTTTCCGAGATAGGCCCGGGTGGGAATATTAATCTTTTTAAAAATAATAACAATCGTATATATTTATATGACAGATATGAAACCCTGATAAAGTACCTTCGCGACATTATTCAAACTTATATAAAATTCATTTTTTGAAAACATATTTGGAGTAATAAATATTTAAAGTGCTCATATGTATATTGAACGGATCATTCCGCATTATCTCTAACACAAATTTTTATTTTTTTACTGTTCTACTTGATCGTGCTTTAAAGCGTTATGTTGCAAAATATTTTGATCCTTTAATTATCCTCTGTTGACATAATATATGTCAATCCGATTGAAATATATATATATATATATATATATATATATATATATATATATAAACGATCTTAAATAAATAACAAATATTTTTATTATTTATTGATTTTACTGCAGTATTAGTGTGCGCTTAGCATGTCGATTCTTTTAATCTTCTTGAATATTATATCTTCGACGTCTATATATATATTCGATAGTATGGCTGTAAAATTCTGTTACTTGCAATCGAACGTACTAACTTGACATTGAATAGAAAATCTTAGCGCGAGTCAGATCTGGAACAAAATGTCCGCGAGAAGTCACAGCGAGTCAGAGAAATTAGCTGGGAATCGAGCACGATCAGGTGGAAAATTGGAGCGAAAGAGACCGAGCGCCGAACGACTTCAACTCGTCGAAGTGGAAATTCTGTCCCGGTTGAACTGGAATTTTGAGACGCGTAAAAGCGCTTGCTGTCGCTTACCGCAGCTGAGCTCGCTTTAAATTCATAAGCATCGGCGCATAATTTGCATCGACGTAATTATTCCACGAGCGAAATTTCGAACGAAAAGTGTTCCCCGAGTCGTAGTATAAGAGGTGTACGACTAATATATTTTATATATGTATATATATGTATATATATATATATATAATATATATAATATAAGCCGCGTGAGTATAGAATATAAAGTGGCCGCGCCGTATGCTGCATTGCATATCTAATGAATCGATAAACATCGTTCTACTTTCGAAAGTTTCCGCGGTGAGATTTCAATGCGACGTGTTATACACAAGATTATTGTGCCCGCGAGAAATGAGACGCGGGACGATTGATCCGCGCCGAGGGGACGAACCGCGATCCGCCAATGCAAAACTGAATGTCGCGATTCGACGATCATGATTTATTTATTTTCGACTTGCATATTGTGCATCTAGCCGTCAAATCTATGTAAATGTCGATTGCTATACGCGCGAATATATATGCATGTATTGCATGTGATCCAAATTAATAGGTACAGATTTGCCGTTTAGGTTTCGCGTTTTAGATCAAATCATCGTCGGGATAGGTAATACCTTGTATCGCATCAGCGAAACATGAGCGAGTAATCATCGCGGTCGTTGAATAAATCCCGTATACCTATGTATTAACTTTAATGTTTCGAATTACAAGCGAGATACACTGCACCGAGCTGTATAGGTATATCCGCGCTCGGCGCGGATAATTGTAGCGCCTACCCGTCTATCCGTCATAAAAAAAAAAACAGAAGTAAAGCGACTTTATTACGTCGAGAGTCCGCGTTTACGCCGAGATAGCTAGATCCCGCGATGGGAAGTAGCATCTCCGCGGCGAAGAATACTAAAAGCCGTAGCCACCCTCCCGTGGAAAACGGCAAGTTAGCGCTGCGGAGCGTTCTTTCATCGTAGATTCTATCGTATCACGATTCTACCATAAAACGCGACAATATGAAGACTCGTGTATGCGCCTTTACTGAGAAAATCTAGGAAAAGAAGACGCTCCGAAGCTCTAAAAGACACTGATTATTGATGCTTGCAACGTCAACGTTTTCGTATAGTGTCTCCCTGCGCTTCTTCCCATGCAAATTGATTTTTATTTATCTCTCGTTCCCACTTCTATCCCGCCGTAGATGTGTCACAATTGCCACCGCAGCTGTCACGTAGTCGCGCGTATGATAATTTGGCCTAAGCTAATTTCAATTCTCTCCTCTGCCTCGCGTAAATCATCGCGGCAACCGACAAGAGCCCCCCAGCATTCACGCAATCTCTCTTTGTCTTTCCGCAGAATAACCTGACAGACGGGGAAGAAGATCTGCCTGAAGACGCTTTCTCGCTGCTGTCGGTGCTCCTAGTTGGTTCGCTAAACTTTCCATTTGATCGATCGCGAGTCGCCCCTCGAAGACAGCCTCCCGAGAGTGCCTACTCTCGGAAGCTCCGATCCGAGCCCGACCCCGTCCAATCATACCGTGGTAGTCTCTGCCTTTCTCTCCCTCTCCCTAGACTCTCCCTGCCTCCTGCGCCCTTACCTCTCCCTGCTGTTGTTTTCCCTCTCGAACGCTCTCTTGCCGCTTAATATAACCGATAGAATCGAATAAATTATGATTGGACGCGTGTCCCAAGGGCAAGTGTCGTAATTTCTGTCCCATAATTTCTGCCACGAACTCGCCCAACGGTGCCCTTCACCATAACACTTCTCCATGGTATCGATACTTTTGTAAAATGAAATTTTGACAGAAATAAAAGAATTTTGAATTTTGTATGGAGATCTTTTCATTTAAAATTTAGCAGAGATAGAAAGTCTAAACCTTGTTTTTAAGAACGGCATTTTTAAGATTTATCAGAACACGGAAGTTCCGACAAATTGACTGATAATTTATTTTTACACTTAAAATTCAAAGATTTCACTGGTTTTTAATTCTTCCTTCAAGTAAGATGTTTGTATAAAATCAGAGATGAGATAAAGAGTCCTGTTTAAAGAGTCGCAATCTATGCAGAAGACTTGCCTGTGATTTTAAGAGATAGCAAGATTTTTCCTGACCGACGTTTTAGCGTGAATTACTTTACTATATGGGGTGCTTACGTTATCGATAAAATAAAGGTTCGCGAAGCGAATTATATACTCTGCTGAATCTAGCCTTTTAAAGGGGATATGCACGTGAACCAGAACGGACTTTACCACGGCTCTTCGTTCATTTTGTTCACTCATTGTCAGCTTCGTCCTTGTTATTTCATCCTTTCGGCGTTCGCATTCGTGACAGATTGAGCACAGAAATACACATGCAATGCCAAGTATTAAAAGTCACCGGAGATTACGGCCACCCTCGAATTTTCCCCAACGGGTAATCGACGGCGCAATTTCGCCAGAAACAATTTCATTAGGACGAAGGTCGGGGCTTCCGAGATCCTTCCATAAATAATATCGATTATATCGCGCGACGAAAGTCTAGCAATATATATTGTATCTCAAAAATTTCTCGGGAAGATGTATCCATTATATATATACAGCATCCGATGACAGCGGTAATATACCGATATTTCGCGCCGCGTCAGCGGTGACGCGGGGGCTCCTCTCTCGATTCATCCTCCGATTCAATTCGATGAATAGAGCGGCGGCGAATCTATATTTCATCGGCCGCGGCCGGCGGACACAGCAAGCCGGATTTCTTAAAGGCCCACGCGCGCTTCGAGGGGCGACGTGTTGAACAGTAGCGTGTCCTGGCGATTCTCCGCTAGACGGATCTCCGCGATATCCGCAGGATTCCTCCTCGTGATCCTGATATTCTTCTCCGTCGCCGGCAACGTTCTGGTCTGCGTGGCGATCTACACCGACCGCGGGCTACGGAGGATCGGCAACCTCTTCCTGGCCTCCCTGGCCGTCGCCGACCTCTTCGTCGGTGGGCTGGTGATGACCTTTGCCGGGATCAACGATCTCCTTGGCTACTGGATCTTCGGAATGTGGTTCTGCGACATCTGGATCGCCTTCGATGTTATGTGCAGCACTGCCTCTATCCTGAATCTATGCGCCATATCACTTGATCGCTACATACACATCAAGGATCCCCTCAGGTGAGGCCGCGCGGTCACGAGATCGATAAGCTTCAAAGGATCGTCGAATGATTTATAAATTTAAAATTACTATTTTTTCGGCATGACATTTACACGATATATTTTTGAAATCGCGAAAAGTTTAAAATAATTAAACGAAGATCATTATATGAAAAAAATAATCGTCGAAAATTGGACTTAATTAGGAGATAAAACAGATTTAATACTAAGAAATTATATATATAAATTTTTAATAAGATGAGAATTTTAGAGATTTAAATCGGAAGATTGTCAAAACGTCGTTGTTTTAGGTACGGCCGTTGGGTAACCAGAAGAGTTGCCATTGGCGGCATCGTCGTTGTGTGGCTTCTAGCAGGACTCATATCCTTCGTACCGATCAGTCTAGACCTTCACAGGAATAATGATCAGCCCATGTATGTGGACGAAAAAGTGGAGGTAAGACGCCCACAAATCGCGTAACTGATTTATTAATAGATATCCAGCAGTTCAATATATCGAATGCGGTCTATTTGAATACGTAAAACGTGATGAAACGGTTTTCCACGGTTCCTCAGATCTCGAGCAAACTGTCGGTTTTAATTACTGAGGTAATCCTTTCCGGTGGAAATTTATAAAATATGAATTCCGTCCACTTCAATATTTGAAGTGTGTACGTAATATTAAAAAAATCCGCAATTATAAATATTGCCCGATGAAAAATTATAAGTACATATACTCTACGTACGATGTACCAATCGTGTGAAAATAAATTCGTATCGAGCGTCATAAAAAGGAATACGTGAATGCGTGACGGCTGTTGCTTTCGAATACCGCGGAGGGATTAAAAATAAAATGACATTTCTTGTTTTACCCCGTCACGCCATACGTTTGCGTCTGAAGCAGTTTGCGTAATCCTCGCCGTTGTACTCTCGTTAATTACTCTTGTCTTTTACCCTTACAGGAGCACCCTACGTGTGCCCTAGACATTACACCCACCTATGCGGTGGTGTCCTCTTGCATATCTTTCTACGTGCCCTGCATCGTGATGCTGGGTATTTATTGCAGGTAAGATCGCCGCGCTGGCGCCCCATACGCTAACTACTTGGACGTGAATTAATTTAACTTTTTACTTCCGCAACTCTCGCCGTAATCATTCTCCGTAATCTTCATGGGTGATGCAGCTCGCATAGCGTCCTATATAAAATATGACGCGGCTCCCGCGCGAGCCTCAGGATAAAAACGACCGAATGCGCTCGGAAAAACGTCTTCGTTTAAAAATTCATAAGAAATAAATTGCACGCGCAACAACGCCGAATATACCGCAAATTTGTTTAGCGGAGCAAGCGTCGGAACAGCATCGGATGCGGATGAAATTTCCAGTAGATATTCAACATCATTTTTTTTTTATTATCGCTTTTGTTTCTCTGATATACAAAGATTACAATCGTATATGCTTTCATTTCGCTGCCACGAAAATCGTGAAATGCTCTCTGATAACGTAATGACTAATGATAAATCATAAGAGCTTCATTCCACGCGTTAAGGAATGCCTTCCTCTTCTAGGCTCTATTGCTACGCGCAGAAACACGTGAAGAGTATCCGAGCGGTGACGAAGCTGCCGGACACCTCCATGGCCAAGAGTTTTCGCTCGAAGAGCAGTCGCTGCAAGCCACCGAAGCCGCAGACGAAGACGAAGCCAACCAGCCCTTATCATGTGTCCGACCACAAGGCCGCGATCACTGTCGGCGTAATCATGGGCGTATTCCTGATTTGCTGGGTGCCCTTCTTCTGCGTTAACATCGTCGCAGCCTACTGCAAGACCTGCATATCCCACCGAGCGTTCCAGGTGCGACTCTTTGCGCAAACTGCATTCGAAATCGCCCGTTTCATTTTAACTAGTCTTTTTTTTAAACTCGGATTCGATTCTTTTCTCTCATAATAGAAAAAAAATTAAGCTCCGATCTAGAAGCAAGATGTAACAATCCTGATGTAGCTTTTATTCTTTAAGCTTTGAGCAAAAGTTGTGATGTTAATTTAATTAAATTACTTTAGTTAATTATAAGCTTAAAACTTTAAAGCTGGGATCTGACCAACTCGCTTAAAACTTAGAGATTACGACTTAAAGAAATGCCGGAAACACTTTTTGCCAGGAAAAAAAAAGTCAAAGTTTAGAGTTTCTATTCTCTAGAAACAAAAGGGATTAAAAGGCTTACTACACCTATTGTTTAATCGGATTTAGGCACTCTTTCATTCTGTATCAAATCCCGAAAATATCCTGAATATTGCTGTTATAAAATTCTCAGCTGTAACAAGACGAGAATTTTCTCACGCGTATAGAACAATCTTACCCGCGCACATTTTTCCGATATAAGGCAAAGGTGTATATCAAAGTCGTTTCTTCCTCCCGAACAGGTTCTCACGTGGCTCGGTTACAGTAACTCGGCCTTCAACCCGATAATCTACAGCATCTTCAACACTGAGTTCCGGGAGGCGTTCAAGAGGATCCTCACGAAGGGGGCACGCGCGCGGGGCAATCAGCCGTCGACCAGCGAGTGCGGCGAGTTCCGCTCGGTGGTGGTGCAGAAGCGGAACGGCTCCATGGTCGAGTGTAACATCAGTCCGAGATCGAGCGCGGACAGCTGTCAGGTCGGCGTCATGGCTCAACGACACCGCGACACCATCGTCAGTGCCATATAAAGCGAGCGTTCCGACGAGCGTCTCCTCCTCTCGACTCTCTCTCTCTCTCTCTTGCGGTCGTCTTAAAAAAAAAACGATTTCTTTCTTGGATCTCGCTCTCGCTGCTCCGCCGCCGAAGTCGTCGCGATCCTGTTCGCCTTCGTTACTTACCCGTCGGAAGAATTTGCGATGCAGAATCTGGGGACATCTCACCACCCGGCGGAGAGTAACGACGTTAGAATTGAAACACGCTTCGCCCAAGAGGAATTCGTTCTTCGTCGTGGCGTGCTGATCCCGTGCGCGACCTTCCGCGTCGCACGGAGGAAACGTATCTGATTATCGAAACATTTTTATTTCAGCATTTAGATTCACAGTCTTCCGTTTGCTGTTCTAAAATTTGTTTCGAATCCGATCAATGTCGAAGGACCACGTCGTGGCGCAATCGATTTGGCAGGTTGCACGACTTCACTAGTGGAACGATATCGCTTATTGCTATTGTTTCGCACGAACTTGCGTCAGTGTACATAAAATCAGCATACGGCATCGCTTGTACCAACAAGCGGAGTTTACTCTCGCGTGCTAAAGTTCAGTATTTGCATCCGCGAAGGATTGAACGCCAAAAACCCGCCCGCCTGCTCAAAGGAAGACTTGCAGCTGCAGCTTGCGACGACGTTGTGCCCTCGCTGTGCAGCCGCGCTCGCGTAAAATAAGCATAACTGAGGACGTTGATAATAACTCTCAGCCATATTATTGAATCTCTCCTCACGTAATATCAATCAGTGTTCTAGTTAGCTGTCGTTGATTTGGCCCGAGGATTTCTCTCGGATCAAAGCGGACCACGCGTTGCTCGTATTTCCTCGACGTTAGATTTCTGGAGGATAGTGGAGAAGCAGTATCAAGTAAAATGCAGGAGAGCAATGTAAATCGGGACGTTTGTCGCGGATGATCAAAATGAGCACTTCGTATACGTCGTGACTCTGCTTCCATCGTCACGATTCGATTGTATGATAAATTACGAATAACGCGCGGGTTTCCTCGAAGTGCGATATTTTCGTTGTGACGCATTTTGCGTGTGTCGTCGCACGATCGAGGAGTATCTGTCTCTCTCTTCTCTCTTCTCTCTCTCTCTTTCTCTCTCTCTCTTTCCTTTTTTTTATTGCGAAGGAGTGAAGGCTGTGGTGTTCGACCATGTAAAATCGCGGCATTTCGCGCGAAGGCATCAATCATTGTAATTAAGACAATCACCGGAAATCCACTTCGAAACATATCCCGACGACATAATCCACCGTGAAATCGTAGTGTTGATCTTCTTCTTTCATTTCTTCATTCGTTCGCTTTTGTTTCAAGTGGTACGACGACAGGCATAGAGTGGAATATTGTCGATTAATAGAAGAATCCAAGTGTAGCGCTTAGGATACTAAATCTTGTCAAGCAATCTCTCTTTAAATGGAGCAATGTCGATAGCCAATCTACGATGTTAAAAGCTGGATGTTACTAAAAAAAAAAAAAATACCGATATGTTTCTAAATAGTAACGTCTGTCGAAAAATTCGTGGAAATTATATACATATATATATATATATTATATAAAAAAAGGGAAAAAACTTAATAGCAATAGGTCAGCGCAGCGGTGCGCCGTGCAGTTGAACTATATAGAAATTAATTTTCCATTCTGTAAATAGTCATTTAATTATTTTTCTATTTGACGGGCGCGGAGAGGGACACGCGGCGGGATACTCGCAGGGAGATGCGAGGAGATCTCGTATTATGGGCGCGCTCATCGAATGTACGCAAAGTCGTCGTCGAGCACCCGTCGAATCTCAAATTCAATTCTGCATCACATATCCGAGCGGAAGGAAGTAGTCACGAGCCAATTTGGCGTTCGCGAGGATCCGTCGAGCTTCCTTGGATACATCTATATCTACGATACAAAACGCATTGCGATCCGGCGCGGGAGGGAACGAGAGGGAGTGTCACGTACGAATTGCATGCGTCGCACAGACTGTAGAGACGGTTGAAGGAAACACACAGCGTGGAACTCTCTAGCCGGCAGGACCTGTGCGCAATGTTGATGTATACTACTGATATAATCGAATGACCGTTCTCTGTAAATATATTAGACTAAGACTTCGACAAAGAGTACCTGTCTCGCCGACTTTACTGATTTCCTCTTTTTCGTCCGATTCCTACACGTCCTACCGAAACACGGAAAAGAAATAGCGAACGCGAAAAAAGGGGTATTTTTATTGTACACTTATGGGATATGAATTTTTTTGAAGTCCTAAATTAACTGGTGTTTCATTCATTTTCACAGTTTAGTACTTCTACAAATCCAAACTCTTGTTTTCTTGTCGTTAACTTGAAATATATATGATACGTTATGTTTAGCGTGATTTTAATTTTCACTGTTTGTCTAATTGTTTTGTAGCTTTTATACAGAAGACTAGTATATATAGAGACATTCCGCCCTCGACTTTATAATCAATTAATAGACAATTAATAGATGTATAAATATTTATTGACTTCTTATTTTCTTAAACAATATCAGATTATTACGTTCGATACGCCTGTCTTTCGTGCTATTGCTGCTGAAGAATTCGGGCGCGGTGTCGGCCCACGTGCGACTCTCCTTCGGGATATTTAGAAAATCGAGCAAACCACTGCTCAATCTCGGTACAATTGGATACAATATTAGAGCACCTATTCTACTACTTTCCAGAGCAAGCGATATCACGGCTTTAAGTTCCTCGATCGAATCCGCGTCGTCGACACGCTTCCTCAGCTGCCAAGGCTCGTGATACGCCACCATCTTGTTCGCGGAATGAAGCATACTCATGACCGCGTCCACGACGTGATGTAAATTGTACTCCTCGTAACTCTCGCGCGCCTTTTCGCCGACGGACTTCAGAGCCTCTCTGGTTTCGTCAGCCACCTGAGACCGCAACACGTTCCAGTATCTCGCCGGATCGGGGAACTCTTTCGACGGATTGACCGCTTTGCCCGCGCAACGACTGACTAGATTGCCCAGCGTGTCCGCCAACTCGGAGTTCAATATGTTAACAATTTTTGTTGAACTATAGTCTGCGAATAAATTTTTTTTTTTTTTTACGATACATGCGATGAAAATGATATGTAAATGCATGCGATTTGTCTGCGTGCTTACTTGCGTCGTTTTGGGGCACCGCTTCTCTCAGAATGAAGTATCGCAATCCATCTTCTGAATACTCATTTGCAGCTTCAAATGGCGAAATTACGTTGCCTCTTGATTTCGACATTTTTTTGTGATCAACGGTCCAATGAGCGTGACACAGTAACGTCTTTGGAGGCTCGAGACCAGCCGCCATTAAGAATGCTGGCCAATAGATACCGTGAAACTTCAGGATATCTTTCCCAATTATCTGCATCAATAATTTTCTTTTGGTTACAATTCCACATTTTAAACTAGCAATTTTCATACAATATTCATTATTAGCTAAGAATTGTGATTCGTACTTGAATAGTGGGTGGCCAAAGTTCTTTGTAAGACTCATTTGGATATCCTAGGACCGTTAAATAATTTACTAAGGCATCCAGCCACACGTATATCGAGTGAGACTCGTTGCACGGAGAGGGCATAGCCCATGGCACCTTGTTTCTGATTCTAGTAATGCTCAAGTCTTGCAAACACGCGCCCTCCTCTACCCACTGGGATAACGTTTTGTGATACAGCGCTGGTCTAACTGTATTTTCTACAAAAAAACAAAATCCGAACTTTACAATTTGCAGTCGCGTTAAAGAAAGGGAAATAATGAATTAGATTAATTGTAAGATCCAACATCTTTCCATACCATCTTTGAGCCAGTACTTGAGATCGTCTTGAAATGCGCTAAGTCGGAACTTGTAATTCTCCTCCTCGGTCCACTCTACCGGGTTTCCCGATTCCGCGGAGACTTTGACTACTTTGCCGGTCGAATCTGTCTGTTCCACCAATTCTGTATCGCTGAGGAACGCTTCGTCCGATACGCAGTACCATCCCGAGTACTTTCCCAGATAGATATGCCCTCTTTCATCTAATTGTTCCTGTGAAAATTCAATTTTCTAACGTGAGTCACGAGGCATCACGAGAACATACGCGATGTTCAGAAGTAAATTTGCTCTAAGAACCCAAAAATGATACACTGCATCACAATGCTGCTTTTCAGTGGTTCTAATGAAACGCGAATAATCCACTTCAAACCTATCGCACATCTCCTTGAATTGCTGCGAAATTCCTGTGCAGTACTCGAGATTCGGCAGACCGGCTGCGGCTGCGGCGGCTCTGATCTTGTTGCCGTGCTCGTCGGTGCCAGTGGCAAAGAATGTTTTGTGGCCCAACATACTGTTGTATCGAGCAACGGCATCGGCCAGAACTGCGCTGTATAAATGTCCAATGTGAGGACCTAACGTATAAAACATACATTTGTGACTTTCCGTTATCACAATAATGACTAACAGATAAGAATTTTGAATTCGAAAAAAAAATTACGTACCAGCGTTTACATAAAAAATCGGCGTAGTAATGTACTTATTTTGAGACGAATCTTTTGCATATTGCCTCTTTATCGTTTGACTCCAAGACGACCGCACATTTTTTAATAGGAATGGAAATATCGTCGATTTCAAGGGCTGATTTGCAATTACGTGTCTAACTGAAATTCAAATTAACGATCATTATTATCATGTTGAAGCATTAGAATTTATACTCATCAATATTTTTAGACAAAAAATGTAAAACAAATTAATGTTACATATTTTTTCCCATAATATCAAAGCTATTTTGTGTTGCACGATTGCAGATATAAAATCATAAAATAGACATAAAAGAGAAGTTTAACAAGGCCATTATTTTAATACATTAAATATGTTTTAATGTTATAGTTTAAATATATCAAAATAGAAATATTTTTTCATGAACCTATGGAAAAAATGATATATGGGCTCTTTATCTTAAAAATATTTATTTTTTTTACTAGTTCTGTACATATAATTACAATACATTAATTTCTTATTTCTCTCTCTTTGTCTCGACATTACTCGACTCCAAAGATATGGTCTCCAACTGGGCTATGAGATCCATGTGCTTAAATTCGTTAGGTATATTGGTAAACGTTTCAAGTAACTGCAATCTCTGTTCGTTATCGTTGCAATAATATAACTGCAGCTCATTAGCCAGGCACTGCGCCTCTTGCGCTTGCAGCAGTTTTGTATCGAATTCTCCGCGCATGAGTACAATGCCCTTGTCGTCTCGCAATTCGGTATAGTGTATCATGGTCAAGCACTCGGGCGCGTTCTCCTTGTGCGTCTGGTACCACAAGAGCGGGGTCATGTGCACCTCCGAGCCGTAGAATTGGCACATTATAAATTCATAGCCCTGCTCCCTCGGCAGCGGCAAGAGGAAGGTGGAGTGCTGCCTGCCGCGCGCGAACATCTTATCGTACTGCTCGGGCGTCATGGTGCCGCAGATGCAGTCCTTCTGCTTGTGATACTCATTCCATATCTCCACAATCTCCTCTCTCGACTTGTCTCTTATCATTGCAACTTTCATCACGCTATCCAATCGCGCCTCTTTCGCCTGCCTGCCAGGTTCCAAGGCTGGCTTTGCCTCGGTTTGGTAGAAACTCCCAGCTTTCTCGCGTTTCTCTTTAAACAACAACACGATTCGAACAGATCTTTATCAACAAATCTCTTTACTTACAAACTAGCATCCTTATCGCCGTAATATCTAAACGTTTTCCGCTAGACCAGCGTCTAGAAATGCGTTTTGCCGAGCACAAAAGCTACAGCCAAGTTTACGTCAGCAGTGTCAGAAGGAAGGGAAATACAGACGATCGTTTTTTCGAGAAACAATGTTGTCAGAGAAAATTAGCAGCCTCGTCTGGCGAAGATCGTGTACCTTGCTTCTCGCGAACTTTCTTCTCCTGCTGCTCGACACGCTGCAGAAACTCGTCCGGGCTGGTATGCTGCAGCTTCGCGATTTTCCCGGCATACTTGTCGTAGTAGGGATTCCTCTGCAACTCCTCCAGAACCTTTTCGAGCCTCGCCCGGCTCGTCATGATGCACCTCTCGTCGCTCGTCCACGCGGTCACCCGGCCGCCCCTCAGTCGCCTGGACAGTCCTACGCGCGTCGCGTTTCGCAGTAAAACGCTTGCCATGAATGTCCACTGTCAAGAAAGTAGATGCGGCCGATGCGAACGTCGAATCGAACACATGCGAAGACACGGCCAGGAGTCAGCGGCCGAAAGTGCGCCGTCGTCGCGCGTGAGGTCGGTCCGTCGGTGTGGTTGACGTAAGCCAGATGTCGCCGGCGACGTTTTAAATCTCCTCCCGTCCGAACAATCGCGCGCCGTTCTATTTTTCCGTGCGAATTGTCGCAAGGGCCGCATTGACACAATTATATATCGCCGTTGCGATCAAACGTATTTCCTAACCGATTACGACGATAATGACGACGGCTTTTTAACGCGCTCAGACAATAGCTTGTAAAGATACGGATAAGTAACACGAGGTTCCGGTACGTCAGTATCGTAGCCACGGGGGAGAGACACCCTATTGACCCACATCGCGTTCCGGATTCATCCTGGATTCGCAACGTGTCGCGGAATAGAGAGTCTGTCGAAGCGCATAAGTCATCTAATCCAGAGCCGTTTTGTATTCGTTTCTTGAAACATCGTGTTTATTTCGCACGAAAAAAAGAAAACCGTGAATCGTGTCGATTATTCGTTCCTCGAAGAATCTTCACGAATACCAAAGACATGATTCAACACAGTGTATGAAAGACGAGAGAGAAGAAGAAGAAAAAACAAAGAATATCTGCAGCATGTCCGCTTTATCGTTCAACGCAGCGCGGTTGTACATAAGTGAAATTTGCAAAAATAAAAATTCGTTTTCGGCGCCCGCCTATCCGTGTGGCGCGCCCGCCGTTGCTACGGGCCTGAGTGCTCCGAGGTACCGACGGTGTCAAGCGAGCAACTTCACGCGGATCGGCTCCTCTCTCTCTCGGAGGGACGCGCGGACGCTCTCGAGCCAGCTCGACGCGATCGCGCCGCGGAAAAAGTCACGTCCGATTATCGCCGTTGACGCGCGCGAATCGTCGCGCACGCCTACGTACGGGCGTCGCGCGGCGTCGCGCAGGTGGAGTTACTCCATTGAGCGGCAGTGCGGCGGCTACCCCCTTCCCCCCACCCTCCGCGCGCGTCACCCGCGCCCGCGCGCGCGCCGTCTCGGTCGGTCGTCGTGTGACGCACGCTTCCGGGAGCCATCAGTCGCTGCTGCTGCTCTTCGTGTGCCCACAGCGAGAGGGAAAATGTCGGCGCGCTGTCGACGGGGCTCGCCGTGCCGCCAGTGAACAGCCCGTCCGCGTTGACGCGTCAGAACCGTGCGCATCGCCCCCGGGCCCGGTGACCCTGACTGGCCGAAATCCGGCCCCGTATACACATAGTCCCCCATACGCCACGGTCGTCGCGTACCCTCGATTTGGCACGACCTTCGCGCGCCGCGAGAGAGAGAAAGAGAGAAAGGGGAGCCAGCGAGCGAGCAAGAGAGAGAGAGAGAGAGAGACGGCAAGAGGGTGAGAGATATTGCGGAACGGCTGGGAGCGCGAGCGAGGGAGAAGGACGGCGAGCAGGTGCGAAACTACACCGCCGTGTGTAGAGGTCCCCGCGTTAAGGTAGCGCAAAAGGGAAGAGAGGCCAGAGAGGCGGAGAGAGAGCGTGGCGGTGGAGTGAAGAGAGAGAGAAGGCATACGGAGGAGAGCAGTGACATGGCGTCGTTAGCGATGTCAATAGCGAAGAGTGAATTCATCGTGGGTGGCAAGTACAGGCTGATGAGGAAGATCGGCTCGGGCTCCTTCGGCGACATTTACCTCGGCATCAACATCTCCAATGGCGAGGTAAGCCACTCTGGCGGACGTCCCCTCTCACGGGGGGGACGATCCGCGCACGACCTACTCTCTTCGAACTGCTGATCGCACGCACGGGTTCCCTCTGTTTCGCGTTTCCCGTTTCTCTCGCGCCCCCCCCCCTCCCTCTTTCCGTCTTGTCTCCTTTTTCGTTCCGCCTCCCGAAGAGCCCGATCTCGCGTTTCCTTGTCGTCGTTCTCTCGTTCAGCGTCGACGACCCTCGTTCGTTCGACGCGACGGACGGACGGAGGCCCAGGTCGGACTAGGACGGACGAGACGAGACACTTCGGCCGTTGGCCGAAACAGCCGCCGCGACATGTCGACCGCGATATACCCATAAGGTCGGGGCAGAAGGGATCCTCCCGGCCGTTGAGATTCGTCGTGGCCCGACGGATTCGAGGACCGTGCCGTCCGCTCGTCGCCGACGACGATTTACTCCGCGCGAAGCCTCGCCGCGGACACGTCGCGAGTGACGTATACGTGCACGCGCGGGTATTGCACGTCTTGGACGCGGTCGAGAGATAAATATAAGCTGACGCTTGTCACGATGGGAATGATAATCGGAATTCCGTGTGCGCACATGCTTAGCGATTGTTCGCGAAAGCGATGCAAATTTCTTGTGTTTCTCGCGGCTGGGTTTCTGCGGCAGCCGAAGTTGAACACTTGAACAGACAGTCGCAGTCCGGTCAATTAATTCTGGGCTCCTAGAAGATTACGGTTTCACGTAGAGATAAAGAAAATCGTATCATGAACGCGGTAAACAATGACGCTGGCAATTGGTCCTTTTCGTTTCCGTTTGTTTTGTAAGTCGCTTCCTTTTTTTTTTATGATACCATTGTTAGTACACTGTAGGCTTGAAGCACAGCCTTATGACCTATACATGGTAATATAATACATCTCATGTAAAAATCAATGTATAAGAATAATAATGTATCCTGTTGGGATACAATGGCAGTGTGTGAATGACAATGGGAAATAGAATTTAACTAAGATTTAGATAAAAATGAAGTTAAACGAGAATTTAACTTTATTTACATAAACTTAATACATTTTTATCTATAAAACTTAGTATTATACATTAACTTTCACGATCATTAAGAGGGATTTATTTTCATCCTCTATTTTGCTAGTATTTTTAATTTTTTTTCAATTCTGTTTATTGTTATTTCTGTAATATAAATATATACATAAGTGCTTGAGAAACAAAGGAAAGTCAGAATAATAATGAAATTATAACATCATTATATCATTCCACTTATTCGCATCTTGTCTGTGACCTTTGTGTTAGATAAAGCTTTGCAGTTTGATAACGTATAATATGCTGTTCATTTTAGGAAGTCGCTGTTAAGTTGGAGAATATGCGAGCCCGACATCCGCAGCTTCTATATGAATCAAAGCTGTACAAAATATTACACGGTGGTATAGGAATACCACACATACGTTGGTAATTATCACATTTAATTTTTTTTGTCTTATGCATCGCGTAGTTAGTTGTTATCATGTTGCAAAATGTTGTATCACGTAATAAAAAAAAGTTAATAAATCATTACAATGGAATTCATGTGAGCTGAGATATTAATTAAAAATTGATGTGAGACGGCCAACTGATAGGAATCTTCCTTCTGTCCGTAGGTATGGACAAGAACGTGAATATAATGTTCTTGTCATGGATCTTCTTGGGCCATCTCTGGAAGACCTCTTTACTTTCTGTTCAAGAAGGTTTACAATCAAGACAGTCTTAATGTTGGCGGACCAGATGATTGGTAGGATTGAGTATGTTCATTGCAAACACTTCATCCACAGAGATATAAAGCCAGATAATTTTTTAATGGGAATCGGGCGACATTGTAACAAGGTATGTACTTTAGTTTGATTGTTTCTTCAATGATATGTTAGAAATAAAATATCCATGCATCAATGCTAAATTACATTTCAGCTATTCCTCATCGATTTCGGATTGGCTAAAAAGTATAGGGATAGTCGCACAAGATTGCATATAATATACCGTGAAGATAAAAATTTAACGGGCACCGCGAGGTATGCGTCTATCAACGCGCATCTTGGAATTGAACAGAGTCGTCGCGACGACATGGAATCACTCGGCTACGTTCTTATGTACTTCAATCGAGGATCGTTACCGTGGCAAGGTCTCAAAGCCGCGACGAAGAAGCAGAAGTACGAGAAAATTAGTGAGAAAAAAATGTCCACGCCAGTAGAAGTCTTATGCAAGGTATGCTGAAGAAGTTTCATCCATCTCTTTTTCTTTGTATCAATAGTGTATGTATATTCGTGACACGAAGGTTACCATTTTTTTTTTCAGGGATTTCCTGCAGAATTCGCTATGTATTTAAATTACACGCGAGGTCTACGCTTTGAAGAAAGCCCGGACTACATGTATTTACGCCAACTTTTCCGCATACTTTTCCGTACATTGAACCATCAATATGATTACACATTTGATTGGACGATGTTGAAACAAAAGGCAGCAAGTAGTAATATTAGCGGTGGAGTGTCAACAGCTGGACCAGGTCTTTCTCAAGGTGCTCAAGGTGCTCAGGGGCAGGGACAGGGACAAGGTCAGGCACCTACTCAGGCCAACGCTCAATCAGGTGCAATGAAAATTTTTGGAATTAATTTCACGCAGCATGTCCACGTGTAGTCTGTAGATTTTTCTGACAATTCACGTACATGTCATGTCATCGTTTCATATTCGGTCACAACAATCACGATGGGGGAAGGGGGGAGGGGAGTTAATGCTCTTAATTGTTAAAATTTTTCATTACTATTCTCATCGTTGACGTGACGAATTTTTCTCAACTCAAAATTTTCTATTTTTTTTTTTTGGTTATGTTGTTTATATAAATTATCATTTTTAACAGCCAATTTCAATCTTAAAAGATGGTTGGAGTCCTCCAAACTGAACATTTCCATTGGCACAAATCATTCTTCCAAGAAGCAATAACTCTGGGGATTCTTAAATACTTTTTTCCTTCTTCCCCGATGAGAAAATCGGCACGGCAAAAAATTTTTTGGAGAAAAGATTTTCTTTAATATTTACTAGTAATAATGACTGAAACACTAATGGAAATATAAGTATGCTTATACGCTAATTATAATTCATTTAACGATTAATTCCATCCCATGATAATGAATATATAAACTTTATACCTAAATTTTTCAGATATTTACTTTTACATTATTTCTCATCTGTCGTTTAATGTTCCTATTTTAATTATTATTTAATGGCTCTTTCATGTTAATTATTAGATTCTTATCTTTACATCTTGAGTTTCTTTTTTAAGAATATTGTTGAGTGATTTGAAGCACTGCAGTATATCTAAATTTATTATATATATTAAATGTTTTTTAATTGTATATATTAAACTAAAATGAATGAGATGAAAAAAGAGAAGGCTTAATGTGTTTATTATCTTTCCGTTTATCATTCAAATTTAATTGGTAAACTTTTTAATATCTTACTGAATTTTAAATCAATCGGTAATGTTATTTGCGTGTAAAATTGCGTAAGAAATAAGTAACACATCTGTATATTTCACTGTCATATGATTTCAGAAACACAAGCGGAGTAACATCAAAAGGGAACGTTACATTTGCATTATTTATAAACATGTTATTTACAACAGAATTAAAGAGAATTGTGATAATTTTCTATAATTCCAAAATCGATTTTATTTGTTCCAGGAGCGCGCTAAGACTATAACTCCTCATTGTAGCAACAATCTTGATCGCGATCACTAAAGTGTTTCAAACGAGGTACCGAATTTCTTACAGAAGTTATCATTCGAAGAGTCATATCAGTCAACACTCTAATTTCGCGCAAAGAGATAACGTGATGTAATGTAACAAAAGATGTCAGCATTTCCGCATATACCAGAGGGGAAGCGTGATTGTATCACATATTTACTGAGCCACACACACACACACACACACACGAGATGTTGTAACACTGGCAACTTAGAGTTTCGGCTGATTGAACTTTTTGGAATTGGAAATCCGAGTGAGAGACCAGCCAGCCAGACAAATGGCTTGTTCTTACTTTGTTATTACGTGTTTAATTTACCGTTGGTAATCATTGGAAATAAAGGTTTTGTTGCCCTGAGGAAGATATTGTGAGGGAGTAAAAACGTATTATATCAGGCTTGAGTGGGTGATTCAATTCGCGAAATTGTGCGACTTTCATGGAGAGAAAGAGAGGATGTTTAGACCATTCTCGGATGCTCGCGTTGATTCTGCGTGGAGCGCGTGTGGTTGAAAATTTTATATCTATTCTACAAACAGAAAAGAGAGATACACAAAAAAAAATATGAGTGTTTTTGTGAGAGTATGAGTAACTACCGTGGTAAACTGATATTCTGCTTCCTAAATTTTTGTTTTGTCTTCAACACATAGCGTGATCATACTCTAGCGTATGTGGAATGTTGAGAAAGTGTTAATATTTTTCTTATCGAAGATAGTATGTCAATAGTGTCAAAGGTATACTTACCATTGCACATACCTTTGATACGTTTGACCGGAATAATTTTTCTTTTTTTATATAAATGAACGATTACGTCTCTCTCCGATATAATATTGACAAGTTAAAGTAATATTAAAGATACCTTAATGTTAAGGCAACAATCTAACTTTTAAGTATGTACCGTACTGTATTGAGTAACGAGTACTCCATCGAGAAACGAACAAACGACTAACGATTCTATTGTAGAAATATCCCTCGATTTACTCTCTTTCTGTCTGTGAATATGTTTATTACGAATCGCAGAAATATAAAACGGTCGCTGAAGAAGATGAAGAAAAAGAAGAAGAAGAAGAAGAAACTTTGAATAGTGGGAAGTAGTTACAAGCTTACTTTCATCTAGATAATGTAAAGAAAAAAAAAACAAATTATCTTGCTCGGAAAGTATTCCTGTAACTGAGGCTCTAGCTGGATAATTCTTCCGTATATAGTTTTAATAGCCGAGACTGTGCAGTAGCTATTTCACGTGCTGTTGCTTCAAGATTAAGTTTGATATTTTGTATACACATTAAGGGACTTCATATTTCATCATGACCAGCGTTCTTCGTACACGCATACACACACACATACACACACACACACCACATACATACATACATACCGGGAGAAGTCGCCTCGAAACAAAAGTCAGAATACTTATTGATATCGGCAAAAGAACTACATCGTTTCTATTCATATCGTTTAAGATTTTAGTTGTACTATTCGTTCTAGCTGCTAAACTCTTCACACACGTCCATGTTCTGCGACCATTAGTTTCAAAAAAAAAAAAAAGAATGTTATAATCATTACGCCCTTAACGAATAATAATAGCGTGCGTCACACACACGTCGTCGTGGAAGGTACTACCAGTCGTCCGGTCAGCTTTAAGTGCGAATTGCGATGATGAATTCAACTGAAATCTTAAAGCTTATTATATCCGAAGACGCGGATCACTGCTGCCTGGCGGGACACTTTTTGAGAATATTGGAAAAAGAAAAAGATATAACCAATAACCATCCTCGATTGAATGCGTGGTTAATTATTATTATTATTATTATTATTATGAAGGGGGTATAAATGAAAGTGTAAAAGTGCGTATCAAACATGTGAGAATGAATGTGTGAGTAAGTTAATAAAATAACTAACGATATATGCACTTAAGTACTATCCGCTATGTGTATGTGTGTATTTATATACATGTATGTGTGTGCATGGGGATATATCGCAAAATGTATATACATACGCACATATACATCGTCTGTATGTATAATAAAATTGTGACAGTAATTAAGGCATACCTTATTTCATAAATATTTGAGGAAAATACATCAACGGTTTACTGCTCCTTCTATCTCTACAAATAAAAAGAAACTGGAATATTGTACTATAAAATTCTGTTTCATTAAATGTTAATCTTGCCGATGAGTTAACGAGATACGAGCTGTTGTGTATATAATAACATATAGCAACAGTGAAAGTGTATATGGATGTTTGGTCAAGGTAGGTGGCGTGCCCGCTCTACAAGATCACGCACCACTTTCTATTATTGTGATACCATCACCGTTTAGGGTGTACATACAAAACACTTATGTAAATATTTTTAGACCATATATTTGACAATTCTTAAAGGCATATATATATATATAATATAATACAGACAAGCCGCGGAGGCACATGATTTTTCTTCCGTATTGTTAATACTAAATAACATTGCGTTTACAAACGTAATGAACACTAAGAGCCTCCCAGCTGCGATGCGCCGGTCATCGCGCTGTAGCCCATCGGAAATAAATAAACATTGCACAAGTGCAAACATTACGAATTACTAAGATCTTGCCCTGTACCTCTTTTTTTCACATCGATACAAGGACACGACATGAAGTTCTCTGTATAAAAGCCTAGCTAATGCCGCGTTTATTCGTAACAACATGTATTAATTAGCTCGCTTCACTTTTAGCAGAGCACGACGAGGGTACGGCAACGTAGTACAAAATATTTGCGTGAACAAATTATTAGAAAAAGGTAGTCTCTCATTTCGATGCACATATCGTGAGGATTCTGTGATCACATACTTAGTCACGACAAAAAAAATAAATAATAAAAACAACGCGTATTCTTAATAGTACAGTAGAGTGTGAATTTTCCTAAGTTCTTGCGGACCTACGTTGACAGAGAAGGATTGTTCCGGGCCTTTGTAGGGGATCTTTATCTCGGCGGCGAGTAATTTGCGTTCCTGCATCGCCGCCGCCATCTCGCGATTCGGATACACGGCGAAATTCGCTTCCGCCCTTCCGCCCGGCGTGCGTTTGATAGCCTCGCGACGTACCTGGGCCTGAAAAATGTATTTTCGGCATCCAGTAATTAACGCTGCATTAATTTGCACTGTTACTTAAGGCCATTTCACACGTACAAAAATTTTAGTCGTAATCGTAAGACCGTAAGCAAATTGATCAATCACAATCAAAATTGCGGTCTTACGTTTTCGAATGTTCGACTGCGGTCGGTCAATATGCTTAACGACTTTACGGTTACGATTAATATTTTTGTACGTGCGGTAGCCTTTATGTCTTTCATCTACACTTACCACTAGCTCGTCAACTCGCTCCTTCAGTTGCATAATGTTCCTCTGTCGTTCCAGCAAATAATGATATGACGTTTCGGGCACTTTGCGCCTCAAGTCGGGAACTGTCGGGTATACCAGAGTCTTTTCGACATCCTAAAATGCGAATAGATGCATTAATTTATATTGGAGAATATTTGGGTAATAATAATCAATAGTGATTGTAGCGATTGATCACCTTGACGAGATCAGTAGTCTTCTTTCGCAATTCTTGAATTTTCGTGTCCAGAGACTTGAGATTCGTCGGCGACGGCAACGGTTCCAAGCTGTCCAACTTTTGACGCAAGACAGCGCACATTACCTTCTTCTTTTGTTGGTGCTCATTATTCAAAGCTTGCTTGAGGGCGTTTATCTCCTGCACGTAATATTTGTTGTCCAGAGTGCTCGTTATCGACGTGCTTCCCGTCATGCTGTCTGCGCCAGACGCCGATATCGTTTTCTTGCCGATTGACTTCAGTTTCTCCTTCAATTGCCCCTTCTCTGTTTCCAGGCTGTCGATATCGGTCTGAAGATGGTCCATTGTTTCTTCGAATTCCTTTTCCTATCCATCAAGGAAAATATATGAAGAAATCGATAGACGGATGTAAGATTGCGATATACGATAGCGGAAAAAGGGCGTACCTTGCGTTTCAATTGATTCTGCGCCTCTTCTAACTTTCTCTTCAACTTCTCGACATTCATCTCGTGCTCATGCTGTTGCGTCGCGTAACGCTTCTCGGCCAACTCCTTCCGCAGCGTCATTTCGGACAATTCTTCTTGCTTCTCTCGCAGAGCTAATCGCGCCTCGCGTATATCGCTGTCCCTCGCTTCGAGTTTTCTAATATGAAAATATTCAAGGAATTACCTCAAAGAATCTTCTAATAGGTAATTGCAGTAGAGCCGACGGAAATGTACGCACCTGCTGAGTATTTTCGTCTCCTCCACCTCCTTCCGCACGGAATTCGATCTAGCCACAATCGGCGTTATTCGCTCGCTCTCCCTAGTCTGCTGCTGGCTTTGTGTCTGTCCGCTTATAGCTAATTCGTTCTCGCACTCGGCCATCTTCTGCGCCAGATTTGCCGCCAGTTGTTGTATCACCGTTAAGCTAGCCTTGATAGTGGCGACAGGGCCCAGGTCTTCCGTATCGTATACTCTTTCGCTCGAGGTTGCGGCCATCTCCTTCAACTTATCGGCCGCCAATCCCGCGTCTAAATCTGAAGAATTAATTTGTAAAAAATTGAATTCACCTGTGTAAGAATATTACAAAAATAAATTTTCCAAGTTCATCTAAAAAAAAAAAATACCTACCGCCATTTTCGGTAATAGCCTGCAAGGCACTCTTCAATAGGTATTGAAGTGTCTTCATGATCTTCACACCGTGCTGGTAGCACGTCGAAAACTGTTCGTTGCAATCTTTGTCTAATCCTAAATTGGCGCCTACGGTAAACGCTGGACCAGCGTGATCACGCGGCACTCGTCTTCTGGCCGATTTCAAATGCTGCTGTATCACCTCGCACGTCGTTTCGACATGCTGACAGAGCTTGCCTTTAACAACAAAGATGCGTTATAGTGACATTTGCACAAGTCAGATTTAATTAGCTAGATATTACGTACCTATATCGGCACCCTCTCCTTGTATCAATACTTTGATCGCCGCGGCGTCGGTAGCTATGGCGTCGCAGGTGTTGCCCAAGGTTCTCGTGCCGTTCACGATCAGACGCGCCTGATTGACGGCCGTACTCTCGCCGAAGAGCACGGAGAACATCGTGGCGAAGTATCCGCAACACTTCTCGATCGCGTCCATCGGCAAATTCTCGTCCAACTGATCCCGCTTAGCCAGCTCTATCAACGAGTCCAAGGACTTCTCCTGCGCCGCCATTTCCGGATAAGCCGCTCCCGCTTTAAGTAACATCTCCGAGGTGCACGAGTTCAAAGCAGACTCGAAGCAGCCCAGGGTGGTCTGTAAGGCGTACATGTGCGAGCACAGACGAGATCTGAACGAATACTGCGCTACCGAGTGACCTCTCACTACAGAAGGCCTGTAATAAAAAAAAAAAAACTGAATATTGTACGAAAAATCTGAATGAAGCTTGCGTGACGAAATGGGATCGTCATTACCTGTCTATCTTCTCGATCGATCTGTACTTTTCCCGAACTTGCGAAATCAATATCTCCGTTTTCTGTGTCATTCTCGGTATCAGTAAGAGTGTCAATATCGCGTCGTGATCTCCACCGCGAGTCAAAAATGCGGGAGGCATGAAGGACAGCAAATAGCATACGTGATTTCGTGCCTCCTCGGCGTCTAAGCGACGCAGTTCGAGGTCGACCGCCTTGGTTTGCGCTCGGGTCTCGGCGAATGTTTTTTGGAAGTCTAATATCTCCGCAAGTTGGTCCGCACCTAATCGTAAACAATATGAGAATGCACAAAAAAATTAAATAATGAAGTTTCATATATATATTCTTACCCCTGTATTTTCTATCTTACCTCGAACGTTAGTCTTGATGGACTCCGTCGATTGAACTCGTTGTTGCAACTGCAAACACTGTTCCTGCAACTGATGCGTGAGTTCGCGGAACTTTGTGATGGTTAATTCGCGATCCGCGAGCGTCTCCAATGCGGCATCTCGGTGCCGTTGGGCATCGCGCGCTGCTCCAAGTGCAAGATCCAACTCCTCGCGAAGCTCCAACTCCAATTCTTTGGACGATTCGGCCAATTGATCTGACATATCCTAAAGAGAAGAGAGAGTAGTATATTACTCGTTTATATACATTATAAACTATATGTATGTGCAGAATATAGAGACTACGTACTTGCAGAGCCTCCAAATCTGCAACAGCCTCTTCCAGTTCAGCCACTTTTTCTTCCAACGCCATTTTTTTCTCGCCTAGCATCTCGACCATTTCTTCGGCTCCTAACGCCGCATCGACCTGCAAAAGAAACGTTAAAATATGTAAACGCGTATATAAACATGTTATTACAAATCGTACAAATAATATATACTTGTTCCTGTAGGTCCGCTATCTGATGTTCCATTTCTTCGACCCGTGACGACAATTTCTCTTTGGTACGACCCAATTCCAGGATCTCAGATTTCTTCTGATCCATATCCTTTTGCAGTTTTTGGAATTCGTGTTTCTCGTGCGCCGACAAATCTCGCATTTTCACGAGCGTTTCACGCAACCTGTTATTTTGCTGTTCCAGTTGTTTCACCTCGTAGCTCGAAGCATTGGCCGTAGTCGTTCCACCGCCGGCTGCCTAATTTGCAGAAATAATAATGTCATTTAAATATACAAAATAAGAAAGATACTTTACGAAACTTTGTAAGTATATAGACAGAATATTATACCCGCTCAGACATTTCTGTGCGTAATATCTCTAGATCCAATGTTTGTTCCTCCAATTTTTCCTTGAGTTGCTCCAACTCGATCTGAAGAGTTTCAGCCTTCTCTTCCGCCATTTCTTTATCTAATGTAGCCATCTCCACTGTTTCTGCAAGATCAGACATTTCTTCTTGGTATTGTTCCCTCGCAGCGTGAGCTTCTCTGGCTTCTTGCCGTGCTCGTTGAAGTTCTCTTTGCAGGCTTGCCTTTGATAACACAAAAATGGAAATTAAAAGATTTATTCACAGAATAAAAAAAAATAAACTCGTTAAATGAAGATCTTTAGCATGTATTATATATATTCATATCTATCCCCTCCACTTGCAACGCTGGCTGCAAAGGTTGCCAAATGACGTCACTGATACTCACTTGACTTTCCATGACTTTAGCCTTAAATTCAAGCAGCTGCTCAACCTGTAGTTTCGTCTTTTCGAAATCTTTCATCCTTTCCTTATCTTGCATTCGCTTTACACGTAGCGTTTCTACTTTCTCGGTAAGATCGCGTACCTGTAATATTATATACATATGCACATTATAATTATATACAACAAAATATATACTTTTATAAATGGTATAATATACACTGTAAGAGAACAGAGAACAAAAAGATCCTCGAAATGGAAAACTTGTAAGAGAAATTTACCTGAGATTTCAAATTGTCGTTTTCTTGCACAAGTTGCAAGTGCGACAATTTTTCTTCCACCAAGTTCGCAGCCGCCGCCGAACCCGCCATGACCTGACCGGGTACGAATTGCGGTTTCAACGTTTCTACAAAACCTGTCTGGATTACAGAAAGGGAGAAAAAAGTAAGATAAAACTTGCGTTTCGTGCCGTTGGGTGTTCTTTTTATTATCGCATGAAAGAATTGGTATCTCGCCAAAGAGAGAGTTTCTTCAAAGTCCTCTGGACCTGTGTACCTGTGTCAGCTCTTGAAACGCATATACACACACACACAGAGAGAGTTTATTAACTAAACGGCATATGAATGGCGCAAACAAAGATAACGTATATATAATTATTCTCAAAATGCGGCAATGAAAAAAACACCCCACTCATTTCCTATATATGAGAATCGTACATGATGTTACGACAATGCCGAATTGTTTCTGTATTTACATACGGATAATAAAATTAGTCTGTTTCGTGGTGATTAATGAGAGATATTAGTTGCAATAGCCAAAACACCAACAAGCTACACCGAATATTCTATTAGTACTAACGAATATATAGAGGAAGATCCAGTTGATGGAGTTGAATCGTGTTATGTGATACATTTACACAGGGTATGGCTAAAATCAGAGCGTATCGAGACTGTCTCATCTATTACGTCCTAACGACTTGCACATGTGTGTTCATTTGCACATCCCCTGTTTTCACGGAGGTTGTTAACTCTTGACAAATATAATACTCTGAGAAAGTTACTGATCAGGCAAAGCTACATCTTGAAGATGTAAAAACCCGGTCCGTGCTATATGTTAGTATTCGTTAAGCTTGTAACACACAAACGCGAGGGGAATTCAACTTCCTTACTGTAGAAGGTAGGACGAAGCGATGCAGAACATCCCTTCCCATTGTGTGTGTATATCGTGAACTATCGAAGCACCATAGAACTCAGTTAATGAAGCTGTTGTGAAACACAATAATGATATGCGAAGAGCATAAAACAAAATTAACGAGTAACAACCCTATTCTACCTCTGTGAACCTAGCACCACTAAAAAAAAGTTCAACTGTGTACCTTAATTAAGTCCTCATTTATTCCTAATTTATTGCTGTCGCGAATTTATTGCTCCTATATACCCTTTCGCAAAATATTAATAGAAAAATGGAGGTGCTTCACGTTACTCCCATTTTGCTTTTTATTTAAGTTAAAAAAATCCATTAAGAGCGTCAAGTATTAGCGCATGTACAAGAGTATACAATTATTCAAAATTCTCGATATTTCTTTGCAATATCTTAAAAAAAAAAAGTAGCAAAAAATTTTGATATGCCTATTCTTTTCTTTACTCTGTATGTGTTTTTTATATTAATTTTCTGCGAATGGATAAGAGCAATAAATTAGCAATAAATGAGCATTTAATTATGATATATTCGAACTTTTTTTTAATAGCGAGTGCTAGATTCACAGAGATCCCTATTCTGTAATCCTTAATTTTTCATTTTAATCAATCAATTATCGTTAGTAAACAACTTTTCCTCTTCTATAAATGATAACTGTTTATTATTCATTACAACACACTGTTTTGTTGTTATAGAGTAAGAAAAGTTCTTTACTAACGACAATAGTTTAACAACATCATTAAGAATTAGAGAAATTAGGGCTCTAAGTCGGTAATCCACTAAGGACGAACGGACGTATCTGTTAAAAGTGCAATGATGCTGTTTTTCATTACAAAAGTTATGTGTTACGATGCTTTATGATCGGCAAACAGCTAGTATGAGAAAGAACAAGATATTAGAGAGGTGATGTATATTAAAAAAATTGAGATATTACAATTAATGAGTATTAATTACATTATTCTGATCATCTTGGGCCTTTGGCTTTTTGCCGGGAGGCGAGCTCGTGCTAGGGGACTTCTGAAACACGTACGTGCATTCCCATATGAATCATTCTGTGCTAATGGAGTCCTCTCTCTGACTTGCAAATTTATAGTCCTTTCCTTTTAATTTTCACCGTTAATCTCTACCTCACTTCGATTCAAACACACTTTTCCGATCAGACAAAACGCATACGTGCACAATTTGATTGATCGAGTCACAGAATAGGATTCTTTGCACATGAATATAAGAAAACATACAAGTAATCGAAAGACCTATATAGATTTCAAAATATCAGATCACCTGTTTGTTAGTCAAAAACAATGGAAATATATCACAAGAATACAGTAGACATAATTTCTTCACATAGGAATTATACCATTCATCATATTTATGTCATCTCATGCCTTAAATTTTCTGAATAATTTTCTTTATAAATTTCTTATTCTTACTATTTGATATAAATAGTAAGATAAATAAAATATATAAAATTTATATGCTATTGGTATAAAAGTAATTTATTTTACTAACAGTTTTATACTTTTATATCACAGCTTATATTACATCTTACCTCAACGAATGAGGCCCGCTTCGAAGTCGAGGTTGGCGCTGGGATTAATGACTCGCCGCCGTCTCTACGGTCGTGCGACGATCCAGTTAGGCTTTCTGTACTTGGGGCACTTAATAATGTTCTACTTCCAGATAAAGATAATCGAGAACTGTAAAAAATAATACAAAATTTTATGAATATTAATGATATTTAGCAATTTATATCATATTTTTTATACATATTTGCTGTGCTAAGCCGACAACAAATCAACCGCGATGGAAATTCACAAACTTATATTATTTATATTAAAATAAAAAAAAAATAAATAAAAACTTGCGCATAAAATAATAAAAATCGAATATTGAAATAATATTCGCATAATTATGTATAATTATATGTCTGTAAAAAAGTTGTGGCATATTATTAAAAAATATATATATATATTATATAAAATAAAAATATATAATCTTAGAAAAAGGCAAACGTAAATTAAATAGCTAAATAAAATTGATATATAAAATAAAAATATAATCTTAGAAAAATGCAAACTTAAATTAAATTGCTAAATAAAATTGAATTAAAGCTTGTAATATTTAGCAATACAACTTTTGTGTTACAATATTGAGTGCAACAGAAATAATCGCTAATTGTTTATTAACTGAAACTAAGTACGCATATGTAGAAGCTCCATAACAGGTATTGGCAAGTTGTTTGTGCTTTAAAGCTGCAGAATGTTCTATAGTTGTTCAATGATCAGAGAATGCAGTTTGCATTTTGACAGAGCCAGTAGTCGAGAGGTAATTGTGATTTTCAAACTGTCTATAATATTATAAGCAGTAGCAATAAAAAAAAAATACACATCGCTGATATAAATTCCACTCGCCAAGATTTAGCTTGCATATAATCTTACCCATAAAGTTTGTCAGTTTGCTGGCGAGTAACATTCGCAGGAGATGTTTTTCTCCGTACACTTTTATGAGCAGCATATAATTATATTTAAGAACTTTTATTAATTACACACACACTCGCCTATTCGCCTATTTGTTTACATAAGAAATGTCGGAAATTTTTAAAAGGGAAAATAACACGATAATCCCTTTTCCTTTTACTAACATTATTAGGTAGGAAACTTACGCTGTAGGCTCGTTCCTTCGACGCATACTAATGCTAGCATGAAAATTGTAAAAATAAGTAACTTCCAATATTCTCCTTTTCAAATCTATAAATCACATTCAGCTAGCTCAACACACTATTTTTGATGCGAATAAATTATGTTTTGCTTAAGTTTACTATTTTCCATCTCATTGTCAGAAGTTGATATATTACTTTAAATGTGCTAAAATACTGTAATACTTTACAGCTTTACTTACTTTACATTTAATTGTAACGCTAGCATAATCTATTGTTATTGATGTTGTACACAGAATATTTGCAGTTTATTGCACTTGTTGCAGAAAAATTATACAGATTTTTCGTTAAAATATTTTTCTTTAAATCTAACCAAGATCTTTCAATGCAATCCAACATTTAGATCTGACAACTCACCTGTTTAGTCGACTTCTGGCTCTAGCGGCGCTATCATCAGGTGTTGTGGCATTGCTGCCTGCAGATGATGGGCTGACTGGTTCAGTTCTATTGCCAGCCTCGTCCAGCAAAATAAGTTGCGTTTGGCGTGCAAACATGCCATGATTCTCTGCGCACTGCGAAAATAGAAATAAAGAACATAAATATATATTTTCTCCTCAGTGAGTAAATTGAACTAAACGGTGAAAGTAGATTTGTCATTATAAACGCGTTATCTAATCATTAGAAATTACATAAAAAAAAGTGTGATCTAAATTAATATAATAACTTGTTTTTCTCTTTTATTTGGTGTTGTATTGTTTTGTAAAAATCAAACTTTCAATGATCTATAACTTCGCCTTACAAATCTTACATCATGTACTCTTTTTTGACTTATCTAATAGAATCAAAATCTCTTTCTTGAAGGAATAAATGTAATTGTTGTCGATGATATATATTGAAACGTCGATTAAATTTCAATTAACTTAATCGACGATTTAAATAATATCTGTACCACCTTCGTTAATATTAGAATAGAATTATTTGTTCTTCGTTGCTCGACACAGATTGGAAAGAAGCATTTATAAATCAAAGACGAGTTAGCTCGAAGTTTTGGTGTAAACAATTCCGCCGATCGAATTAACCGTAATTAATAATAAACCGATTACGGCAATCAGAGTTTGGAGTCGAGACGGACCTTGGGTATACGTTTACCTTGAAGTACACCTGGCCCTTGACGCTGCCGTTGTTCTTCCCCTTCGGCTCGTCGAGTATCACGCCGATCCATTTGCCCGACGCGAACGCCGGATGGCCGACGTAGGCGATCACGCCTTGGCACTCCTTCACGGGGACCTCGACGCGCTGCCCGATTTTATATGACATCTTTCTCTCCCTCTAGCTCTCTGTCTCTCACTGTATCTGTCAGCCCGCGAGACTCGCCCCCCAGAGCCCAGACGAACGCATCAGCCGTGCGTTAACCTGCGCGCGCGATCTCTCTCGTGTCACTCGACGTGTGATTCGATTCTCGCCGCCCAGAGCGTAGAGATTGATGTTCGACTTACGACAGGACGAAACGATCAGTGCCACGAGTCACCGGATTTGCGATCCGAGCTCCAAGCGCGATTCCTTTTTGAGAGGACACGACGTGCCGTCATCCGCGTCGCGGTGTATCGGTGTCGTCGTTGCCCACCACCGACTGACACAGCTGCTGCGCGATTGCTGCACTTTTGTACGAACAGCAATTTATTCCTCTTATAAGCTAAACATATATATTTTGCATCTTTCCTCTTCTTCTTATATTTTTATATAAAATGGAAATACATGTTTTACTGCGAAAGGAACAGAAAAAAAGGCAAAGCTCCCGTTCTGCGGATTTCAAAAAGGATAATAATAATTGATAATAGTTCAAAATTAAGCAATCTGCGTGGCAGATCACTTTGATCTGTTTTGATTTTATGTGTATAGAAGCTGAGGCGGACAGCCTCAGGAGACAAGGAAAAGGACAAAGGATTAGAGAATATGACGTTTTCGCATGTCGCTCTTTTTCAAATTCATCAAATGTCTAATTACTTAAATTATTACTCTTTTAGCATGGAAATACGAACGAGGTGTGCTGTATTAAGTCCGACTGTACACTTTCCACACTTTCCCACATCCCTAGCTCTTTTGCTCCCAAGAGCCAGGGAATTTTTTCCTGGCGTTAGCGGGAGGGGGGACGGTCTACACAATAGGCCTAGAATAAATTTATTTATTCATATTTATCTAAGGAAGCAGCTGTCCTCGATCGATTTTTCGTTACGCAACAATTATTCGGTAACTGGCATCGGGGGTTTCAAGCGCGCGTTCGCTGCACTCGCCGTGCAGTTTCCTCGACATTCCGCGGAACATAGGGAATGCGCGAGCGCGCGCGCGCGCAGCAGCTCTCGCGAGGCACTCTGGTGATATATTCCGCTGACACGGTATATTTGTTTTCGTCCGTAAGTACATTCGGAAGTCCTCCGTTTATTGTGCCCGCGCGTTCGCTCGCGCTCGGACAGCGTAGCGGCGAGCGCGGATTGTTGCTGGCGCGACAGGTCGTGCCGTGGACTTGTGGACGACAATGGCCAACCACTACGAGGTCCCGAACTGGTACGTCTCGCGATCGGTGAGAGAAGAGAGAGAGAGAGAGAGAGAGAGAGCTCCCTCCCTCGCAACGCGACCCGGTCGTCCGGGTCCGTCTTCTATTGTTTACGCAATCGCGCCGACGTCCCGGCGGTGCAACGGCTGGCCGACGTCCGGCGTCGCACTTCGCGTGTCGCACACAAGTTAATATCCTGCTTTCAGGGCCGGCAAGCCACCGGTGGGGCTGCACCTGGACGTGCTGAAGAACGACAAGTTGATACAGGTACAGAGAACGAATAGTCACCGCGTCAGCCGTGACACTTGAGTGACATATATGTCACTCCCTCCGGACACTCCATTATCGCCCGTGCGCGCGGCACGTTTCACATGGACTCTTCGCTTTACAGAAACTCATGGTGGACGAGAAAAAGTGCTATCTGTTCGGCCGTAATCAGCAGTTGAACGACTTCTGCATCGATCACGCGTCCTGCTCTCGCGTCCACGCGGCTCTCGTGTATCACAAGCATCTGAATCGAGCGTTTCTGGTTGATCTGGGAAGCAGTAAGTACAGAGCTCATACCAGGACCAAGATATCTTCTTTCAAGAAATATTTTTTAAATATCAAAGTTCTTTCTTTTTTTTTCAATAGAAAATCTGTTTAAAATTAATGTTTTACGGAAAAAAGAAATTATTCTAATTCTTTGTTCATATAATATTCTTATTTATAAGATTTTAAGTTATTGTACAGAAGAAGCTTGATTATATTTTTTTATAGAATTATATATTCTATCTTTTATAGAAATTTATGTTATACATAGAATATGTTTTACATAAATGATGGATAATTTTCCAGCACACGGGACCTTTATTGGAAATCTACGTTTAGAAGGTCATAAACCGACTCAGTTACCAATTGACAGTACATTTCACTTTGGGGCGTCTACTCGGTATTACATAATAAGGGAAAGACCTCAGACTGGCGCCCGGCCTATCATCGAAGAACTGGAGAAGCTATCCGAGGATATGGATGCCGGCGGTTTGCTGGGTTTGCCAGAAACCGAAACAGAATTAGACGTATGTATCAAATATTCGATAACGTATGTTAAAATCTTTACATTGTACTAAATGCGGCTCAATTGATTGTGACTTGCAGAATCTAACAGAGTTTAATACAGCTCACAATCGACGGATTTCTATGCTTGGCATAACAGACGACGAAATGCATAAACCGACGCGCAAGCGGAAGAAAAAGGGAATCACCTTCAACGACGACGAAGAAGTAATCAATCCAGAAGATGTTGATCCGTCAGTCGGGAGGTTTCGTAATCTTGTACAAACGACAGTTGTTCCTAGTAAGGTACGCACGACATGGTTTGCACAGTCCTTGTAGGGAGAAAAACCTAGTTGCATTATTACGAGACTGCTTAACTTAACATTAAATAACTAATCGTTTAATTTGATATTAAAAAAAAACAAGTGCTTCTTCTATTGCAGAGAATGCGTATGGAGGGTGGTCTCATATCGCTGTCAGAAGATCACAATCTTCTGAAGCACATGCAGCCCACGTCTACCACTCCGCAGCTCTATCACGATCTACCTCCCGAGCAGTTCACGCCGTCCTCGATGTCGATCAATCCGTTCTCCACCGCGCTCACGTCGCTGACGTCGCGGCTCGGTATCGCGCTACCGAATCCCGCGCCCGAGGTGGAGATGACGCCGAATCAGATACAGGCGGAGGTGCAGCACGTGCAAGAACACATGCCGGGCGCGACGGAGGGCCGGGCGATGGAGCCGAAGAAGAAGAAGTACGCCAAAGAGGCATGGCCTGGGAAAAAGCCGATACCGACGCTTCTTGTATAATAGGGAGGAAATTACCGTTCATACGCATATGATATGGCCCTTGTTTTCTGATAAAGCTGCACCTTCATCCAAAAATTGTTCGCACATTATAGATTCACAATTTATCGTCAGCTCTATCAACGTGTTATTATATCGTCATTAACTCTATCAACTCTCTATCCTAATTGAACCATATAAACGTTGAGCCATATAAGCTTATGTTGAAAAGACTAAATCTATGCTAATTATAAAATATTATTTAAGTGATAAATAATTCAAATTTAACTTCGGCTTATTATCATGGTTTAAAATTTTATTTAACGTGAACGTGTCTTGCAAAGAGACTTGTGATCCACTCGAAGAATGCAAATGAACTACTGTAATCTGTTAACGCGATAAGTAGTGACGTGCATTCGGTAGCTAAAACTAATAATGATACTCGAGCTTCTAAGTGATGATATTGAATATACTTTTATGTTTATCATGTTAAATTTTGTCTTACATTTTGTGCTACATTTAGTTTATTTTTACTGCGATAATGAATAATAATCAATAGAAATAAAATTATTAATGTTTATTTTATCAAATAGATTTTCGTGACTAGCAGTATGAAGTTACAGCCTAGTTTTAACATTATCGTGATTTTTAATAATTATTAATAACAATATTATTTAGTTATTACGTAATATATTGCATTTCTTGAAACCTTAGCATAATTTCCTCTACGTACAATTGCTATCGCTCCAAGTGCAATGAATATAATGTAAATAGCTATAAAGGGAATTTTGTTGATATACTTTTATAAATAATCAGTACCAAAAAAAGTCAATGAAAAAAACAAATATTGTACATATTACATGAATAAGTATTATTTTGGATCAGTAAATTTTCGATGTAAAGAGTTCTTCATTGTTCATCTCTCCGGATGTATATACGTATGTTCGTTTCTCTGTATGCCAAATGAAAGATTATTTGTAAAGTGATGCAACACTCATATATTTTTATACTTGCTCTATACAATGAACTTTCACAAAAAAAATACTCTTCTATAAAATACCGTGACAATTATAATACGATGATAAACGTAAAATATATCTTTCTACGTAAAATTTAACGTAAGAGCTGTGACATTTCTCTTGTAATTTCCGCCTTGTGATCGGGCAACGAAAAAAAGGAAAAAAAAAAGAATGTGCCGGCCTGTTCCGAAAGATTTTCCAAAAACGCATTAATACTCCAACGGTGTGTCCGGCGTGGACGGCGATTCGAGGGCGACTTCCTCGTAATCCCTCTCGAGTGCCGCGAGGTCCTCGCGCGCCTCCGCGAATTCGAGCTCCTCCATACCTTCTCCTACGTACCAGTGAATAAACGCCCGCTTGTTGTACATCAGATCGAATTTACGATTGAGCTTGGCCCACGCTTCTTCTATAGCCGTCGTGTTGGACAGCATAGAGACAGCTCGTTGAACCTGCCGATATGCAGTTGATGTGTTACATAACAAATTGATAATTATAAACAACTGTTATGTTAGATGTAACGTACACATATAATGTATAATTTGATTGTATTACGTAATATCAATGTATTTCTAATTATTACGTAAACTATATTATGTTAGAAGATTGATGATAATTTAAAATTTTATATGGCATAATAATTATTGCGTAAACAATTATTATGTGAGAAAGCTGTAAATTAAAATTAAAATTCTAATCGTGCATATAAGGTAAACGTACCAGTGGCTGAACGTGTATCTATAGCTGAACAAGTACAAAAAAATTTATTTTTAAATGATTTTTTCATAATATTATAATTTAATTGTAATCTTTAAATATTTTTACAATTAAATTTTGATATTATAATAAAAAAAGTATTTGAGATTAATAAATTTTGTGTACGTGTTCAGATATAGATACATGTTCAGCCACTGGTACGTTTACCTTAATTTGAATTTAAATTAATATCAAATTTAAAGCCATCTTTTGACAATATAATTTTTATCAGAACAAAAAATAAAGAAGAACTCTATATATATATAAAATTTTGTATATAACATAATACATTACATATTTGAATATATTTTTTATATATTCATATATGTATAATCCTGATTATTTCAATATTTTTTTGTATTTTATATTATAAAGACACATAAAATTATTCAGGAATTTTAGAATTCTATTTTGAATCCCGGCACAAGTTGTAGAGCGTCTGAAAGTGATCTGTCTAAAAATTTAATTTACTTTATTTTGATTTAAAAAATGCAAATAAACGTGAAAAATTAAAACTTTCACGAGAAGATTTGTCTACGATACCTTCGCGAGATCGCCGCCTGGCACAGCCGTGGGCGGTTGATAATTGATCCCAACTTTGAAACCTGTGGGGCACCAGTCGACGAAACGGATGTAGCTCTTGCCCTTCATAGCGGCGATCGCGGCATTGACGTCCTTCGGCACGACGTCGCCGCGGTACAGGAGGCAGCAGGCCATGTACTTGCCCTCGCGCGGATCGCACTTGACCATCTGATTTGCGGCCTCGAAGCACTCGGAGGTGATCTCCGCGACCGATATGCCCTCGTGGTAGGCCTTTTCGGCGGACACCACCGGGGCGTAGGTCGCCAGGGGGAAGTGTATGCGGGGGTAGGGCACCAGATTCGTCTGGAACTCGGTCAGGTCGACGTTCAGGGCGCCGTCGAATCTCAAGGACGCGGTGATCGACGACACCACCTGACTGATCAACCGGTTCAGATTCGCGTACAAGGGTCGCTCGATGCCGAGTTTGCGCCGACAAATGTCGTAGATCGCTTCGTTGTCCACCATGAACGCGCAATCAGAGTGACTGATTGTCGTGTGCGTTGTTAATATCGCATTGTAAGGCTCCACCACGGCGGTAGATACCTGAGATTTTTTTTAACAGATTACTACGATTCGCGCGAATGCTGATCTTTATTTTACGAAAGCATATAGTTTCCATAGAGATTAGCTTTAAAATTGTTTTTGTTTTATTTTTTATTTATATTAATCTTTATTTTCACTACAAATATTTAGAAATTTAAAAAAATAATATTATAATAATAATAATTTAATAATATTTTTCAGTTTGTCTTAATCTTGTCATCTCTGAAGATATAAGAGAGCGAGAAACTAATTGATTTTTCTGCAAGAATGTACAAATCGATTTAATTGTTCTGAACTCACTTGCGGCGCTGGATATATGACGAATTCCAATTTACTCTTCTTGCCGTAATAGTCGGACAGCTTTTCCATAAGCAGAGACGTGAAACCCGAACCTGTGCCACCCCCGAACGAGTGGAAGACGAAGAAACCTTGCAGGCCGGTGCACTGATCGGACAGTCTCCGCACTCGGTCCATCACGGATTCGATGACCTCACTGCCGATGGAATAATGACCGCGAGCATAATTATTGGCGGCGTCCTCTTTGCCGGTAATTAATTGCTCCGGGTGATACAATTGTCTGTACGTTCCCATCCGAACTTCATCTACAGGAATAATGTCATTTTTTCAAATTGCAGATATATATTTAACAAGATGATTATATAAAATATTTATATTGTTATTATTATTATTATAAGTAATTTCCTCTGCGCGGTGACTCTATATTATTATAACTGACCAACGACAGTCGGCTCGAGATCGATCATCACGGCGCGCGGTACCATCTTGCCGGAGCTCGTCTCGTTGAAAAAGGTGCTGAAGCAATCGTTAGAACCGGAAGCCTTGTCGGACGGCATGGTCCCGTCCGGCTGGATACCGTGTTCCAGACAATACAACTCCCAGCAGGAGTTGCCCATCTGGACGCCCGCTTGGCCCACGTGCATCGATATACACTCGCGCTGTAAATCGCATAACGTATTTTATGTTAACTGCAAAATCTTGTCAATGCACTTCAAGATAGAATTTTGGATATTTTTTTCAGAGTTGAAAATTGTCTAGAAAAAACGTAATTTTACTCTCCTGTACCATTTTGCTGTTTTTAAACTTCTCTTGATGTTACACAATGAAAATTTGGATGGTCAAATCGAAATTTTTATTAAATCTTTAATTTAAACACGATAAATTTGGAGGCCGGCCATGAGCTACTCTACGAAATAACACTAGCAATTTATATTTTTGTTGCTCTGGTAACCGTTACGATTCAGCTTCACGGCGATCAAAATCAATTATTGATATGTATTACAGAGTGAGATGAATATATTAGTGAAATAAACATTCTGCTAAACAGCCAAATTGTCAAAATATGATCTTTGTTCGTGCCAGACTTTTAAATTAAATTTAATTTAATAATTAGAATTTAATAAAAAACTTCATAAATATATTTTACATGATATATATAATATACTAATAATACTCTTGAATTATAAAATATATTGGAAATATAAACTGTTTGAGTTTAATCTGTTTTTCAATGTATGAACATAATGCTTGAGATATATACATATATAAACATAATTATATACAAATTAAAATATACATATAAAACAAAATACTAATTTATTTGATAATATATAATTACATTAAAAATAATATAAAACATACATTATATTTACAACTTTACAGTGTTTTAATGCAACTTTCATTTCATATTTCAACGTTTTGAAAATTGTTTAAATTAAATTCAACAGACATTGTTAAATTTTGACGCTTTGTGAAATTATTCAATATATATACGAGCAGCCTCTTTTCTTCAATTATACATCACGTTCAAATCTGTCCAGGAGCAGTATTCTGTACACGCTACTGATGATTGTCGGTGCAGTCGTTGCACAGCTTTTTTTATTACAAAAAAAGCTGCGCAACGACACCGACAATCATCGGTAGCGTGTACAGAATACTACCTCTCTGAACAGATTTGAACATAATTGAAGGAAAGTCGACCGAGCTGCTCATATATATATATGTATATACCGATATATATACCCTTACCATGCGTCAGACGTATCCGTGGCAACTAAGAACGCGTCGTGCAACACTTTGCCGTTTCCATTAAAAGTGATATCATCTGCAAAATAGATAAAATGTTGAATGTGCCGTGGATGAAGCTGTCTTTTTGAAGCAACGATCGTAATGATCACATAATTGCCGGCCGCATAATCATATCTGTTATTATACAATCATCTAGAAACCGTTTTTCTATGACCAGTGTACAGCTACAGTTTTTTTTTTACACAATCAATTGATTTAATTAATTCTCACTGCCCAGTGTGATTTTGCGAAAGTGATGCACAATTCACCAATTTGTCGCTCAAGAGATCTCAATCGTGTTTAAAATCGCGCGTTTATAGAACACACACAAGAAGTGTACTATTAAATAAATAAATTTAAATATTAACTTATGTTCTTAAATATTGAATAACAACTTTAAATATTAAAATGCAGTCTCGTTAAAAGAAGGATTAATTTAAAGTAACATCCTAAGAATGACAAGAGGCAATCCTTTCAAATATTGATTGAGAAGAAAAAGTACAGTAAAAAGGATATTATAACGCGTCGACGAATGGATACTAATTACAGAGCGAATATCGCGAAGTGGCTGCCACTTTCTGACGGTGCCCTCGACAAATGGCTCGTAGACGCTTCTCTTTTGGACGAGAGAATGGGAAAGCTTGCAGGATGCATAGCTTTAATCATCGAGGACTCTGCGGAGGCTCGGACTTGCGATCAGGAGGTCCGAATATAAATTTACAACGAAAAATTCTTTTACTGCTAATAATTATATAAAATGAAATTAAACCTATACGGACATTTAATTGCCTTACGCTTCTCGCAGGTGTTTGAGGAAGTGATAGATAATCTGGAGGAATTAATAGAGAGTTACAAATCGACGTGCAATCCGGGGGAATTAAGCAGTCATCCGATATACAAATATAAAATAAATCATCTGTCGATAGTATTAAAGCGCAAACTAAATGTGATCGCAAAATTCATCCAAGATTTGATTAATGATATTGTCGATTGCAAAAATGACGAGAACATAAGAATAGTATTCAGGTGACAATCGAATGGAAATAATTCCTTCCTCTGCATTAATTGTATTATGTTGAGCTTCAGTTTCGCTTTGACTTTATTATCTTAATTGCTCTTTGATATAAAAAAATTAATTTCTTTCCTTGGTACATTTAAATTTTATCAAATAACAGATAATAATAATGTAATTGGCAAATTGTAGATTGGTAAATGCTTACAACAAAATTCTCGACATGAATCGAGACGTGTCGGATCATTCGTCTATCAATGTCTTTTATAACGATTGCCCATCCATGCTTGAGCCCTTGAAGAAAATCTCCGTAACCAAAATATTGCAAGCAAGTATTCCAATATTAATTATGCGTTAGTTTTTGGGAATCGAGAATTAATTTTTCTTTAATGAGTTTTACAGTTTAGTTGAAGGCACTTTAATTATACATTTTGTAATAATTTTAATAATAATTTTAAAATAATAATTTTAGATATTAGCAAAGAACAGGGCAGAGGAATCCTGTCACGAACTTATCGACTGTCTTCTAGCAAATTATGAGCCCCGTGAAAAAATCGAGCCTGCATCTACAACGAACGATGTAGACGTTTCAGAAAATTCCAGCATTGAGATCTATCGGTCAGTTTACGATCACAATTGTATCGCTTGTATTATTAATTTTAAAACATCTTTTACGCAATACATATGTAAACTTTTATATACTTATATAGTTTATCTTATATTATAAATTTTTATAGTTTTCTTATATTATTTTATATTATGTATTCAACTATTGTTAGAACATCAAAATTACAGTCTAATCAAATATATCTCTGTTACACTTGTTGTAAACTCTCAAACTGCAGCGCTCTTACGAGGCATTTAACGCCACCGATCACAAGTGCGACTTCAATGTCAGAAGTGGAAACATCCGATATCGAAAGTGTACAGGCACTCGTGAACACGCAAAACGAGCAGATCCTTAGACTCTTAAATGTCGTGCAAGAAATATCACCGCAATTGCTCGGCACGGACGCCTTAAAGACCAGCAAAGGTATAGTCCGAATGGATTCAACGGCTACATCTTCTAGTGTTAAATTATTTTATAATAGATTTATAATAGATTTTATAATAGATTATAAATAGTCGAAGCATTCAAAATTTCAGGCGAGACGAGATTGAGAGGCAGCGCGATAAAGAAAGTGAAGAATTATTATCAGGAGGTGGCATGGGGCTCACTGTCCAGTATTTTAGATCATGTGATACTGTGGTGGTCACGGGAAGCCCTCGCGACTCATCACAGCCACGGCGCTCAGCATCTCAAGGATTGGTTGCGGCAGTTCATTCAAGGGAACGAAAGTAAAAATGTCTTTTTATTTAATAGCATTTTCTCATTTTCAATTTCGTTCTTTCGAGAGAATATTCTTCTGTATATCCTCAAAATTTCAGTTCCACCTACGGTCAGATCGGCGCTCCAGAATTTATGCGACGCTCTCGGGTATCACACGACCATCACCGTTTGGGACCAGATGTTTAGATTAGCTTACACCTCGGCCTTCGAGTGCCGTTCGAAACCGTCCTCCGCCGAGGTCGGTTCGATAAAATGCACAAACAAACTTAATAATAAGAAAAGTAATAATAAATTCTTTATACATAGATAATGGCAACTAATCGTCATAAATCGTTTTTTCAGGGAACCGACACTGGTCAAATGTTCGTCGAGCTGTTCCAGCTGTTGGTCACCCTTAGCAACGAATGCGAGGTGGGCGGCGAGTGGGTGATAGGAGCACCCTTGGTAGAACTGCCATTGTCGGAGCAGATCGTCGTGTTGCACAGGATGGACCACTCGGTGCACACAGCGAGATTGTGGGCCATTCAAGAAACCAGGATTATAGCCCACACTTGGGACCTGGACGTGCTTTTTCTTTTAGTCAAGGGCGATATAGTAAGCTGTCTTGAAGAGCTGTCATATCTCAAGGTACAGTTTTTTTATCTCTGTTTTTATAAAGAAAAAAAATGTAATATGTTAATTTTTTTATCGATTGATTGTTAGCTCGCCGATCACACGACCGCATTGTCCATGAATTCTATCAGCGTCCAAGTATACGTGTGCACGAAGATGAGAGCAAAAATTGTTTCCGAAGTCAAGGCAAACGTTCAATTACTTCAGGTATAATGCTGTATTGAATTTCAGACGTAAAAGAAAAAGATGATTTTTGAAGAAAAAAAAAAGATTCTTTGATGTGCCAATTAATTTGATAAATAAATTAAGCATACACATATAACTTGAATTAAAAATTTTTTATCAACATTTTTCATATACTTAGAATTTAGATAAAATTTTAAGTATTAATATTATGATTAAGGTAGTAAATTTAAATCGCCAAAAAGTGGGAAATAATTCTTTTGCGAATAATAATTTTTTAATTAATTTTCAGATCTGCTGCTTAAATAAAAAATTAAATGCAGATAATTTTATGCTTCTTTATTTTCGTAGAACTGTTCTGCTAAGTGCATCGACATGCTCGCCAAGATCTGTCGCGTGATCAGCCTCGCAAATTTGCACATGTGTTTTCCGCATTCGAATTACTGGAGGAGAAGCAGCGACACATCTCCGGTGGCGGCCAGTCTTTATGTGGAAGTTTACTTTGGTACGTTTCTTCTGCTACATTATTCTAATATTATTTTTAAATAATGTTTTTGAAATAATTGTAGAAAAAGTATTGCTACCAGTGTTGGAAGTGATAGAGGATCACGAAACATCCAACATGATTCTACGAATAATGTGCGAGGCGTGGCTTGATTACATTTATCTACATCGCATTAAGTTTAGGTAAATTTTTCATTTGCTCGACACTCTGATTGAAGCTGATCGTTTCATGAAGCGATGTAAAAACAATTATCTATATGCGGAATAGAAATTAGAATTTCCAATACTTGCCTTTTCTGTTTTTACATTACTGCATATTTAAAATAAAATGCGCAGCGAGTACGGTGCGCAGCAGCTGTTGACGGATTTCGCGTACGTATCGACGTGGGTCACGGAATGTTCGATCATCTCGCAAAACGTCAGGAGTCACTTGTTGAAGAACGAGGTCCTACGTCGTTGCGAAGGCGTTGGCCGGCTTCTGTTGAGGCATCCAGGCGAAGCTATCGCTATGCACAAACGATTGGGTAAATTAAATAAAAAATTTATTTGGAATTTAAATTTCAGATATTTGCGATTTTCGACAAAAGTGGCTCGATCGCAAATAAATGTCATTGTCAAAATGTTGTATTCTTCATTAAGAGATTAGTAATTTCTAAGAAAATTTTTTTAAATCAATGACGAGAATCCAAATTTCTTCGATGCTTCCTGAAGGAGAGACTAAGCCTTCTTCTTGCTGCTTTTGTGCGATTTTAGCTCGAAGAACGAACGAGCGTGGATCGCCGGAATCTCCAGGTCTGGAACGCATGCCAGCTGAGATGTACGTTCCGAATCAAGAACAGTGGCTTGAGTTGCGCGCTCCGAAGCGATATAATTTTTGCTGTATGGAATAAAAGAAGTAAACGAATCGTTTATTGGAATTGTGACGCATGTTGTTTCCCCAAATTTTATAAGTTGTTGAATATGACAATTCGATGTATTATAAATATTTCTCATGAGTTTGTTACTTTGAATTGCAAAGAAATAAAGTTACTGATAACTTATAAAAATTAATTTAATTAACAATAATGTGAAAGGTTTAATAAATTAAAAATAACAAAAAAATATACAAATATATGTATTTCAGAATTGCACAATTGTTGTAACTACAAAATTTGTGAAAATCTGAAATGCATACATTATACATGTATATTTTTTTTATTATTTCATTATATTTTGATGGATCTTTGTTGTATTGATTATTGGCAATTGAATTGTATAATGGGATTATATTGAACAATCACAAATAGTAAACAATAATAACAAATACAGTTTATAAAGTTATTTGTAGTGTTAAGCTCGTATTTGAATAATAAAAAGTATAAGATCAATCGGCCAAGGATTGAGCAAAGTTAAAAAATGACATAAAATTACGAAATCAAATGCTAATAAATAAAAAGTTTAATGTCATATAAATAATAAAACAAGAAGTTTTGACTCACGGAGTCTTCTTCAGTTGAAATTAAAAATCGAAACGTCTTGTTTTATTATTTATATGACATTAAACTTTTCATTTATTGGCATTCGTGGGTTCTATGTAATTTTTTACCTTTATTCGTTCCTTGGCCGATTAATCTTTTTGTTTATAAAGTTAATTGGCGGACCGCATGCAGCGGTTATAGTTATACATCACTAACTAATCTATAATTAATAAATCCAATAAGGGCAACAAGTCTGAGCTAGGTTTTTAATGCTCCAATAAGACAATATTACAAAGATTAAAATTAAAATTAAAACGTTTTCGACCTGTATTAGGTCATTCTCAATGTTAAATCGATAAAATTAATACAAGTAAAATTGAAACAGTAAAATATAAAAGTACAAATAACTCAAATTTGTTAAATACCATCTAAAACATAATATTTAGGCGCAAATTTCCAAAACATCGCCTGAATATTATGTTTTAGATAGTATTTAACGAATTTGAATTACTTGTACTTTTATATTTTACTGTTTCAATTTTACTTATATTAATTTTACTTGTATTAATTTTTATCGATTCAACATTGAGAATGATCTAATACAGGTCGAAACGTTTGTTTTAATTTTAATTTTAATCTTTTTATGTAATATTGTCTTATTGAAGTATTAAACACCTAACTCAAGCTCGTAGCTCTTATTGGATTTATTATTTGTTACTCTGTTGAACCTTTTTAACTTGTCATTTTAATCTATAATTCATTTATCTAAATGAATTCTAGACACTCTTTTATCATATATTATAATAGAATGTTAAAAGGACGGATATTAATCACATATTGATTTAAATCCAACCAGAAATATTCGAATGGAGTGGTCATAGTTACATTTTTTTTTAATCTCATAAAATTGAGACATATATGGGGTAAAGGCTCGAATTCGAGACCGCCAATTACGAATCAACGTGCTCGCGCACTAAGCCATTCGTTACCCCAGAATTAGTATGAATTATAGATATAGATTAGTCACAGCAGTGACGCACGGGTCATATGCGATCCACCAATTAACTTTGTTTGTTATTTTATACGTATTTTAACGGATTTTTGTTGTATTTTTACTTTATTTTATTGCTTTAATTAATTAAATTACTTGCATCAATTTTATTTATTATACTTATTAATTTTATCTACGTTATTATTAATTAATGGAAATTAATTTTTAAATGAGATTTTCTTGAACAAAAGGAAATGGAAAACAACGCGCAATTATTTCAATATTCATTGTCCACATTAATGAATTTCGTTATATGGCTATGTGCGCAAATTATAATCATTTGTTACAGACAGATCATTTGTTGCATATATAGATTTATGTTCTCGAGAAACCCAACAAGGAACGGAAGCCTTTTCCATAGTACGACGGCGTATTACGTTACTTAGGTACAAGATATGTGGCATCGCACACCGCTGCGTCGTTCTTAAGCAGTCAAACGTCGGCGTTCATCGTCGACGACACGGTATTACAATAACATCAATCTGGATGGAAACTTTAGACAATGTAGAGTTTCAAACATTGATTGAAACGTGTAATGTCGAGATAGTGTTACATTACGCATATAAATACATACAGGAAATTGACTAAACGCACACAATCGAGAAATTGCTGAAACAAAACAGTTGTTATTTTGTGTAATGAGTGAACGAAATGCAATAAATTAAACGTTAAACTGCAAAAGAGACACGTCGTTTTTGTTAACACACTGTGCAAAAGAAATGTACACATACATGAATTTGTAAAATTAAATATTAAAATTAATATTTTAAAAAAGGATCAACAATTCGGCTGGTTGCATGAGTCAGTGATATGTTTTTATAATGATGATCATCCAAACTTGCGTGATTTTTTGTGCTTTGATGTGCTTTTAAATTATTAAATACACTTTCAGACATTAATAATTGCAACTATATTTACAAAAAAATAATTTCCAGGTAAATTCTTTTTATTCAAATAACCGCCTATGTCAAAATCTTTCGATCACTGAATGCATTACTGAATCATACAATCAGACAACTTTTCGGCTTTTTACATTTTTGTTTTACAAGTTCATAAATGTGTTCTTTTTGCACTATGTGTGAAAATAACAAGTTTTTTCTGCAGTATGTGTTTCATTATACTGTCCATTAATTACAAAAAATAACAGCTGTTTAATTCCAGCTTTTCAATTGTTATAGATACATTCCTGTTAACTTTACTACTTTCCGACATGTGATAAAATGCCATAAAATTGTATAACAAGTGACTCGTTATTCCAGTTTGTTTTACATTGCGTTTTGCGGTCATATTCTCATACCGGCAGAATAACGTATAATACTTATATATGATTGTTACAAATCATCTCTGCAATGCGTGATCGCTTGCGTATATCGAGACGCAGACTCGCTGTCACCGTTGTGTCGCACCGCAAAATAAGAATACGGTGAGGCAACTCATGTTTCACTCTCGACTGTCGATTCTCGATTCATCTTATGTAACCAGGTTGCCTGCGCGAGCGTGTGAACCAAGTAATCCACTTTGAGTTGAGAACTTTATCGGATTTTTCTCTTTCACCAGTATCGACAAGATACAACAATCGTACATAAGTGCGCTTCTAAAATCTTGGGAAAAATCTCTCGCTTAAAAATTACTTCGAATGTGTATCACCTGTTAAAAAAAAATTGATAGGAAACGATAGAAAATGATATAATCGTTTTTAATCGTAATTATGAATCGTAAAAAAATTATCATGTGTAAAAAATTAATCATTATGATAATGTTTTAATCATTTATTCATGAGAAATTTTATCGGTACAAAACAATAAAAATTCGAATTCTCGATATTTTAAAAATTAAAATTGCTTTTATCAAAAGCTTTTAATGACGATAATATTTCTTTCAAAATAGAAAAAGCGGAACGATAGATACAATATATAGGACACGATAAAATATTTGACAGATCCTATCGATTCCTATCGTTTTCTATCAATTTTTTTTTTAACAAGATCGGTCGACAGAGTTTTCTCCAGAGGAGAGTGAAGTTTGACGATATGATCATGTAATTACTGGGATTGTAATTAACAATTCATTACAAATGTGGCACCGGAAGAGCTCGGGCACTTGTGCGTATCGATCACTCATGCGAGAGACGTGTTAGTTGTGCAAGGTGAGTCACATAAGGGAGATCGAATTGCTAAGCGAGAAGGAGCCTCGCCTGTCAACCGTCGCAGATAGAATTCTGCACTTCTTATCCAGTATCTAGTAAGTATTTCTGTGCAACGGAAATGCGCGGAATCACGGAAAGAACACCCCTGAGAAGATCGGACTCGCCCGATTACATCGAGTTCGCCAGCCTCTTGAGGACTCGAAGAACACGATTACGACAGTTCCAATGCTGCGTCTGCGGCATCCTGATGTAAGTTCGTGTGGATTATATACACGATAAAATAATGGAAAAAGATAAATTAAATATAATTGAATAATAAATTTTTAAATAGCAAAATTAACGAACGATTAGTTATTTTTTTATTTTTTTTTAGAGATAAATTATATACACATTTTACCTGTACAAAAACTGCGTGCAGCTAAATTAACAAACTCGCTGTTTTGGAAAGAAAAATAAGTGAAAAGAAATCAGAAATATAAATAGTAATGCAAACTTCCATTTAACAATTATATGATCTCTAAATCCATCAAGTCGCCTATTAGGATGTGTGAGAATTTGATCGGATTGCTAAACAATGATAAGTTTCGTGCCGAAAACATCACACAATGAAGAAATTAAGACTGCATGCGATTAGATTCTTCGCGATTTTACAGAGTGGTTTTCACCATGGCTCTGGTGGTGTCCATCAGTTACTCCATGAGTCACACCAACTCCACCAATCCCGCCAACGACAATGCAACGTCCCCTGATAATCTACGTAGTGCCTTGAGATTAGGACTGTCACTTGGATCTACCTCGCACGCGGCCTTCAGCAACACCGCTAGTGCCACAGCCGAGCCCAATTCCATTCTGATATCTAATGAGAATGTCAATATCCCGACAAAGCGTCTCAGTCAACTGGAATACACGCAGGGATTACGAGCTGGCGAACAGGCGATGAAGGATCGTCTGTCCGCGGATATGATCGCCGCGAAATCACCGCTGCCATCTTCATCCCCTGAATCCAGACACCGCCACGCGGTGAGCACCTGTTCCAACGTTAGCGCCCTTGCTCTAGCAGCGGTGGGTGAAATCGCGGCGACGAAAGTGATCGAGAAAATGAGGTGAGGCTCCGTCGTGACATAAAGCTTCAATTTTTTTAAAGAAAAGTATTTCTAAACACTTTATATACAATTATAAATTAAACGTTATAACTGCTTTAAGATTGTCTTAAATCATTTAAATCTATAATTCGCGTTATAATTCAGGAAAATATAATATTATTTATATGTGCCGTAAAAGCGACATTTAAAAAATCAGAATGCACTTTCTATTGGTTGCATGGGTTAGTGATATATAAAAGGTTTAAAAGATTTCGACGTGACAATATACATATTTCCATAGAAGAAATTTTTTTGGACTTCTTTAAAGGAGTTAATGTTAGAAGCATATTTAATATAGCTTTCAAAAGCGCCTCGATTTTAGTGCGAATTCATTAATTTAAAAAATCACTAAACCGTACAACAAATGTTAATCCTTTTTTATAATAATCGAAATACAGCTTGCAATTATAAAGACAAATAATAAAAGGTAAAATTTCAAGGCCAAAAACGAGCAAATTTATGGACATTTTATTAATAAATATATTTCGAATTAATTACTTGTTATTTATTAATTTAAAGATTATTGAATGGTACTTTGATATAATTATTGAATTAATTAATTAATTAATTCAATGTTGGCGGCAGATAAGAACTGTAGACTGTTAAGTCAAAACTAGTACCGCAATTATCTGTATGTACATCTTACAATTAGTAAGTAATTCGAAATACATTTATTAATAGAACATAAATTTGCTTGTTTTCGGTCTTAAAATTTTACCTTTTATTATTTATCTCTTTTATAATATTAATTTAAAAATTTTTAAGTATATATTTCTTTGGTATTATGTGCTAATAAAAATGATAATTTTTTTTCAATATTATAGTATAGCGTTTAATATTCGTTACATATATTACATATGTTAATAACAGCTATTTAGTTTCAACAATTTCCTGATTGTCAATCCATAAATCGTCTAAAGTGAAACTGTATAGCAGTCTTTTTAAGACTGATCCATTTATTAACAAGCAAAATTATCATGTAAAGTCATACGTTTATAGTTAACTTTAGACAGGATTTCATTTGATATTTTCCTATTTGAGGTCCACCAATGATGAACCATCGGCGATCGACACTCTCTTCGACAGCGGCTGGTTACCGAAAAACGTGTGCAAACGATACTTCGACCGCGCCTGCAAACCCGGTAAATACCGAACTATTGACGGCAGCTGCAATCGGCCGACAGGCTGGGGCATTGGCATGACGCCCTTTCGAAGGGCCCTGCCGCCCGATTACGCCGACGGAATAGCATCGCCTCGAAAGGCACGGTCCGGGAGGGAGTTGCCCTCCGCCAGGGAAATCAGTCTGAAAGTGCACAAACCTTCGGCCAGCAGCAATCCGTCCTTTACGGTGATGCTGGCGGTGTTCGGCCAGTTCCTCGACCACGACATCACCGCGACCGCGCTCAGTCAGGGTGTCAACGGAAGTTCCATAGCGTGCTGCTCGCCATTAGGAAGACAGCATCCCGAGTGCTTTCCCGTGCCAGTGGCAGCTGGCGATCCTGTGTACGATCTCACCGGCAAAACCTGCATGGACTTCGTGAGATCCGCACCGGCCCCGCGATGCAAACTCGGTCCTAGAGAACAGCTCAATCAGGTAATCCATATCGCTGAATAAGTTCGCACAATCTGCAATTTACGACATAATGCGAATTTAAAAAAAAAAATAGTAAAATCTTTTATGTTAAATTATTTATGGAATTTTTGATTGAAAGAACGAATCTGCAGTCACTTCTTTTACTTTAAATTCTAAAAGAGAACTAAAAGATTAGTGAATTCTTTCCGAAAAAAGAAAACGGATTTTCACAAATGTCCAATTTAAAATTTATAAAACTTATAGGAGATTTCTATTTAAATACTGGTGAAAATGTATTATTAGAATTACCATAAAAGCGACCGAGACTGAAGGATTGTATAGATAAAATTGCGTCCAGGTCAGCGCCTTCATCGACGGCTCGGCTACTTACGGATCCGACAACGAGACCGCTCGCGATCTGCGCGAGTTCACCGGTGGTCGTTTGAGGATGCAGTTCACCCCCGACAACAGGACTCTGCTGCCACCGAGCACGAATCCCAACGACGGTTGCAATCGCGAGGCCGAGCGACGCCGTGGCCGCTATTGCTTCGCCGCGGGCGACGGCAGGGCAAACGAGAACCTGCACCTGACCACGATGCACCTTCTCTGGGCGCGACAGCACAACAGGATCGCGAACGAACTGGCCGGACTCAATCCCGCTTGGAGCGACGAGACCCTCTACCAGGAAACGCGACGCATCGTCGGCGCTCAATTGCAGCACATCGCTTATCGCGAATTTCTGCCCGTCATCCTGGGCGACGAGGGGATGAGGGAGCGGGACTTGAGGCCCATCACGTCGGGCTACAAGAAGCGGACGCGCGATCCGGACGAGCTGGAGGACGACCCGACGATCGCCAATCACTTCGCGGCCGCGGCCTTCCGCTTCGCTCACACCTTGCTGCCGGGATTGATGAGAATGACGGACGCCGAAAGGGACACGCCGTCCTACGTGGAGCTGCACAGGATGCTCTTCAATCCCTACAGCCTCTACGCCGCGGATGGCGTCAGACGTTCGGTCACCTCGGCGACGACCAACGTTATTCAGAGGTACTCCACGCACGTAACTTCGCAGCTGACCAGTCACCTCTTCGAGGACCCCACGGCCAATTCTACGGTACCTGCATGCGGTCTCGATTTGGTGTCGTTGAACATTCAACGAGGACGGGATCATGGACTACCGGGATACGCTGTGTGGCGGGAATACTGTGGTCTAGGAAAGGTCGAGACTTTCGGCGACCTCGAAGGTTACTTGGATCGTCGTGCTCTGAAACAGATATCGATGCTCTACGAGACTGTCGGCGACGTGGATTTGTATACCGGCGCATTAGCCGAAATACCGAAGTCGGGCAGCCTGATCGGGCCCACGTTTACGTGCTTGATTCTTGATCAGTTCGCACGTTTGCAGAAGGGAGATCGTTTCTGGTACGAGTACGCTGAACAACCATATCCTTTCACAGAAGGTAAAAATAAATTCTGGCAAGTTAAAGTCCTGACACGATAAAGCTTTAAATGTGGATTAATAAACAAACGCAGAAATTTGTCACTTTTTTTTTTAATTTCGCGAGAAATAAATAATTTACGCATTCGTATAATATATTTCATATTATATGTAAGCCCAGTTGTTCTATCTTTCGCCTATAAAGATTTTAAATATGCAGTTGAAATCTTTTGTTTTGAAAAGCATTTGTATTATCTTTTACATGGAGTTTTAATTTTTAATAATTTAAAGTAAAATTCTATTTTTTTTTAATATACAGAATTTTATTAAGATAACTTAGAACTATTGTTATACTATAATCTTCGATTATATCACGACATCGATTTAAAAAAAATAGAAATATATAGATATAAAAGATGTACAAGATATATGCGAGCGTTTAAAAAAGTGAATATGATTTTTATAACTATATTAGATTGTTTTAAAGTTTTTGAAATTTATAAAATATTTTATCGTGTAAAAATCTTAAATGTCAAGAAGAAATAAAACGTAATAAGAGCCGTGATATGACAAGATATTTATGATAAAATTTCAGATCAGCTCGTGGAGATACGCAAGAGTTCACTGGCGAAATTAATATGCGATTGTTCTGACGGAATCACGCATGCTCAAATGGAAGTTATGCGTTCGGTTGATTCTAATAATCCCATGGTATCATGCGAAGACATACCAGGACCTTCCTTTGAACCGTGGAAAGAAAATCACGGTTCCAATTCAACGTCATTGTAGCTTAAAACTTTATAAATAACGTATACAGAATATCTCAAAACTATCAGATATACTTTTAATAAAAAAAAACTTTTAATAAAAAAAAATTAATTAAAATTCAAGGATAACTTTTTTTAACTATCAAAGAGCTATTTGTCGACTAAAATTTTAGAAAGCCAAACAGAAATTAACAAAATTACGTGGTTTAGTTTTAAATGGAATTTAATGTAAAGGAAATTGAATTGAAAGCGTTAAAAACAAAGATATAATGCTAAAAATTGACAAATTGCAATAAATAATTATCTTTGGCATTTTTACTAGGTCAAAATTAATTTTAAATTGACTTCAAAATTCGTCGTTAAAAGAACATGATGATGGTTTAAAATATTCTGTATATATAATTTTTTTTACAAAATGATAAATAAGTCACTAGGCGATAAACGCAAGAAATAGAAAAATTATTTTAAATTTTCACTATATATGTGTGTGTTATATATTATATATTTTCGTTTTTTTATATTTATTAACTCAAGCGCAGTATTTATGAATCTTACATATAGATCTTAAAAAATTATTTTATTTAATAAAATTCTACAAATTTTATATCATTTTGACAACTATAAAATAAATATTTCCCAATTGTATTTTTTTATTATTATACAAAATTATTTTGCTCGTATTATTAGCAAATATGTGTTTTTGTAAATTTACAAAATTTCACTTAATTATCTCCTAGTTTTCTAGTAGACACAATTAATAAACTGTCGAAAAAAAGTTTCAAATTATGTTTTAATGTTAAATAATATTTTTAAATAATAATTTTATATATTATATATATAGTGTTAAGAAATTAAATTTTATAATACAATATTTAATAACACAATAACAATTTTGTGTATTTTTATGACATAATAAGAATTAACGTAAATTAATTTTATGTATGAATTAACGTTTTGTACTATTTATGTGTATTCCACACAGCACTAAATAAAAAAAATCTTTCAGTATCTCATTTATTACATCCTAATAAACTAATAAACCTTTTCTCGTTCTATTCTAAAGCCGCGGTATGTATATACTATATGTATATACACGGAAAATCGAAGATCCATCAGAAATATGTTATCCTCCGGAAATATCCTTGGCTACACAGTTCAACGTGTACGTTTTATGCACATAGAGGAGCCAGTAGACGGGTTCCATTTAAACTTTAAACCACGGACACGTCCACTACTCCATCCTCAGGTTTCTCTCTGTTTCAAATCAGACCCGACGGAGGACGGGAGCTGACGTTACCGATAATACAGTCACAAGAACATCTGCGGTGGTTTCTTTTTAGACTCGCGATGCACGCGTACCATTAATGCGATTGGAAAAGCGAGAATGGAGAGTGAATTAAGAATTGTGGTGAAATGGAGCGGAAAGGAATACGACATCCTCGATATTCAAGAGGAGGATACGGTTCTTACTCTGAAAGAGCGTATACACAGAGAAACAGGTGTTCGTCCGGAACGTCAGAAGCTGCTGAATCTAAAGTTTAAAGGTTATATTTTGAACTGTCTTTTTCGATAAGTTCCGTCTAGATAAATACAGTTATTATCGCAATTTTAATTATTTATTTTGAAGTCTATCGTCTTGAAAGGAGGCTAAAAATCCTGCTATTAATTATTACATCCAATTATATTTTAAATATTACATATACACATGTATTGTGTAATACATGAAATACAAATACATAAATGTATATAAATATTATTTATACAATTCGTAAAATAATTCTGTTTCCCTAATACGTGAAAGTGACAAAATTATAGATAGTATAATGTAAAAGGATATATACATTGTTAAATATATAGTGTCAAATTTAACCTTATTTAAGTCTCCCACTGCTCCTAACTTAATATATATATAGTTATTTTCAACTAAAACGATAGAGTTAAATAATTTGAACAGTTCAAATTTAACCCAAATTTGGCTTAAATTTCATTGTTTTATTTAAAATAGCTATATTGTTTTGATTAAAAATAACAATATATTAAGTAGAGGCAGTGGCGACTGAAATAGGATTAAATTTGACACTGTAGATTTAACAGTATAGAAAGAAAAAAATTCTTAACCATTAATCTAATGGTTCTTAAAATAATTCTTCTAGTTTCTGCATTGATTGCTTTTATTGCCGAGAAGAAGTTATAATCTATAATATAAATACAATGTTAATCTTCTCTCCAAATACACACGAAAAGAATTCCAAAAGAATCTTTAGAAACAATTGTTTGCTTTATCAGGCAAGGCAGCGCAAGATGGGGACATAATCAGCAAGTTAAATTTGAAGCCCGGCTTCAAGCTGATGTTGATGGGCTCGCGCGAGGAGGATATCGCCGAGGTCAGTCAAGCACCCGAGAATGTACCTGATGTGATTAACGATCTAGACTTAGAGGAGGAGGAGGTAGAGATCGAGAAGGCCGAGATAAATTTACGTAAGATCCAGATACGAATTGATCGCTATGTGATCACAGAGCTGAATTCTTTGAGGGAAGGTAAGAAGCTCCTCGTGCTGGACATAGACTACACCTTGTTTGATCACAGATCAGTGGCGGAGAGCGGGTCGCAGCTGATGCGCCCGTATCTCCACGAGTTCTTGACGCGCGCTTACAAGTATTACGACATAGTCATCTGGTCGGCGACCAGCATGAGGTGGATCAACGAGAAGATGAAGCTCCTGGGAGTTTCGAATCATCCGAACTATAAAATAGCCTTTCACCTGGACGTACTCGCCATGATCACCGTTCACACGCCGAAATACGGCGTCGTCGGGGTGAAGCCGCTGGGCATTATTTGGGGAAAGTACAAGCAGTTCTCCGCGAAGAACACGATAATGTTCGACGACATTAGACGGAATTTCATCATGAATCCGCAGTCGGGATTGAGAATAAAACCCTTCAAGCACGCCCACACCAGCAGAGTCAAAGACTTCGAGCTGCTGAAGCTGTCGAGATATCTGGAGCTGATAGCCGACGTCGATGACTTTCAGACCCTCAACCACAGAAAGTGGGAGGAGTACAAGCCGAAGAAGGGCGATCAGAGCAGTGAACAGACCAGCAGCAGTGAGAAAAGTTAAATCTCAACGAAATTTTCTTTTTTTCTTATGACACTTTGATCGACAGAGGGGAAGTAATATTGATTGGACGTGGGAGGAATCACACAGAGTGGCTTCAGGCTTGTATATGACGAAGTGAATGCACGGGGAAGATGCATTTGTCAGCTATTTTAAAGTCATGACTGAAAAAACAAGGCTGTTCTCTACATACGTTGGATAAGAACGACAAGATTAACTCGAGCGTCAGTTTCCTTAGCATCGCGAGAAAATTTATAATGCGTGATATTGAATTTTTCTGAGAGCATACGTATTTTTCACACGTTTCTTATTCTCTGTACTTGTGGTGTATTTATCGGTTGACCGTGTATACGTATATAAGAACCATTTAAATAAAATGCACGGAGTGGCCGACACGAGAGGTGCAATGATATATGTATATATATGTGTATATATATATATATATATATATATATATATAAAATATATATATAAAACGTATTTCGAGTGAATTCACGTGCATCATGATTGAAAACATTTCCTACGTGTTTCCTCTTTGTTGCAGATGTCGGCAAACTTTAAATCTCACACAACACGTCGATTATTTATATCTACGTGATCGCATTACGTGGGTTTTCATGCGGCGTATTTTTAGCCATTAACATGTAATATTCACTGATTATGCAAACCGCAATATCTATCTTATACATTAAGTGCTAGGCGTTGGCGACTATTTAGGGAATTGAAACAATTTTTAAACTGTTTAAATAAAAATGCTATTTCCATTTTTCATACCGATTTAAAATATTACGGAAAGATGTAAGATATGAAAAGTTCATGATGATTCATAATGATTGTAATAAAGCTAATTTATCCAAAAAAAATTGATTTCTGATCTTGTCCACCTTTTAAATCTGCATCTGCCAAACGTGATAAACATATCCGAAATATATTTACTGTTTATTTTTTCTCAAAACTTATACAAATATTTTTTTCTTAAGTAAATTTAATTTATTCTACTAAATTTTTATATTTTTGAAACTATATATATTATATTTCTGTAAATGTGTGTATATAATTTTCAAATTTGGAAAAATTAACGTAAAAGATGCCTATATGAGACAGTTACAGTAGCATATCTTTATACACAAGTAAGTTACATTTTAAAAGGACACTTAAAATTCGCTTTTATGTTTAAAAATTTATCAAGTACAAGCAAATTGTGATCGGAGAAAATATTAGTATTATATCTTTTAAGTGATGATTTATCAGGACTATATTAAAATTTTCTAGACATAAAGTCTATCGAAGTAACGTGTAGCGTGCATCCTCACTCTAAAGAGTCTAAAGGTACCGCGGTAGAAAAAAAGTATTTATTAATAAATGTACAAAAAGAACATTTGCGGAGTCTCGCCTTAATTATTCATGGTATTACCAATCGGGTCAGGAACGGCTCTCTAATCATTATCGAATCGGGAAAGTATTTCATCGGAATATCGAGCGACTGGCTGCCTTCATCGTCATTGAGGAATAACGGAATTGATTCGCGTCGCAACTCTCCCCCTCCCTCTCCACCCGGAGAGCAATCCGTTCGCGTCGCCGTCCGCCTTTTCACATCGGAGGAGCGTATATGTATAATCGCGCCGAGCACGGTGAGAGCGGTTAGCCACGAGCAACATGGCGTGCGCTCGGTGGTAGGCGGACACCTCGCCCCGACGCGGAAACGTCACACGCATGCTGCCCGTAGCTGTCAAACGCGCAGGGAAGCAGGAAGGATGGAGCTGTTCCGCACTGACACGCATTTCATCTTCGTGAAGGAGAGGCACAGCCTCTGGTGCGACAAGTACACCGGCGAATTCGCCGCGAAATCAGGTGGGCGCGCGTTTATTGTAGGGCAATTAATATATATGCATGCGTTTGACATAAATCAGGTGAGCGGCGCGCGATCAACAAAGCGTCGCTCGCCTCAAGAGCGTGATCTCGCGTGAATTTTAAGAAAGCGAATCAATTTCGTGTCCAAGGAACACGTGCGCTATGTCTGCGTTAAAGTGATTTATACACAGATGACACGGCGTTCAAGAACATAATGTTGTATTCGGGGTTTGACGTTTAAATTAATTATTTCGACGGCGAGGTTATGGACGGATGGATGGATGGATCTGTTGCAGACTGGGAATGGGCCACGCCGAAGGATCTGGAGTGCCTGGGGATGTTTTACGGGATAGTGGGCAAGATCGAGCAGACGTCGGTGCTGGAACCCCGGCTGATGCTCATAAAGGACGTCACGCCGGCGGGGGAGTTGCACGGCGGCCACGTTGTTTACAAGATCAAGTCGATCGCGTTTCTGCACGTCGGCACGGAGAACACGGACATCGGCCTGCTGCCCTGCAAGAAGCATCAGTACGCGATGAGGAAGAAGGGGACCGGCGGGCTGTTCGACGTGCCGCAGAAAGCGGCTCTGGCGAAGACCTGGGGTACAATCAAGAACGCCACGAACACTATAAAAAACACCACGCAGCACGCCGCCGCGCTGGCCACGTCTCAAGTAAGGAAACGTCTAAGACCGTTTGACCAATGTGTGTGTGTGTGTGTGTGTGTGTGTGTGTGTGTGTGTGTGTGTGTGTGTGTGTCTTACCATGAAATTCTGCGTGTGTTTAGTATCTCACATAATTTACAAGCTCAATGTTTCTTATACAGATGAAGTCCACAGTGATAAAACGCAGCGTGGTGAAGGATAAGGAGAGATTCGAGAAGAGGATACTGGAGGAGCTGAATAAGATATTTACCGAGACCGATTCGTTCTTCTTCTGTCAGACCGGTGATATTACTAACAGCTTGCAGCGACAGTGCGTAATGGAATCTCAGCACGGGCGAGGCAATCAGGAGCACAAACCGTTGTGGCAGCGTGTGGACGACAGATTCTTCTGGAACAAACACATGTTAAATGACATTATTAATCTGAATGTTCGTAATTCTTAACATCTTTATTTCCACCTGTTTTTATTTACTTAATAATTGACAAATGGCTGTATCATTTAAAGTCAAGCTGCACAATGGCAATATCCATTCAAAATTTGCATTTTCTTTTTGTATATATATGTATGTGTAATATTTGTATATGTTTTATTCTACAGACAGATAAAGCAAATTGCTGGATATTACCGATTATTCAAGGATACGTTCAGATAGAAAAATGTATAGTCGAAGTGGGTTTTGATGAGCAACCGCAACAAGAGATATTTAACTTGGCGATTATATCGAGGAGGAGTAGATTCCGTGCTGGAACTAGGTAACTTTTGTTTATACAGATGGTTTTCGTAATTAAATGATCATGATTAGTTTTATATTGTCCAAAAATATTAATATTATAAGCGTATTAGGATTAAAGGAATTTTTCTGAATATAACACATAGGTATAAGAGGCGCGGAGTGGATGACGATGGCAAGTGTGCAAATTACGTTGAGACTGAGCAACTAGTTTGGTATCATGATCATCAGGTATCCTTTGTACAAGTGCGAGGAAGTGTGCCGGTATACTGGTCTCAACCTGGATACAAATATAAACCCCCGCCGCGGATTGACAAGGGTATATAGGCAAAGAAATATTTTGCATGAACTAGACTAGAGTAACTGTCCCTATTAGTGTGTCCTGTACCTATTAGTGTGCTTTTATATTTAAATAAGTCATAAAAATAAACCGGTACAAATGTATAGCAAAATATTTTTTTATTAATTTAATATGTATGAACTTTATAAAAAATTACTTTGTCTATTTATTTGTACCAGTTTAGTTTTATGACTTATTTAAATATAAAAGCACACTAATAGGGGCAGTTACCCTAGATTATCTTAATGGAATGTGTGTAATAATCTTATACAATGATATTGCAGATGAGGCTGAGACGCAGATAGCATTTGAAAAGCATTTTGACGAAGAGCTTACATTGTACGGACCTATTTGCATTGTCAATCTAGTCGAACAGGCTGGCAAAGAAAGGATTATTTGGGAGGCTTACAGCAACCACGTATTCAATTATAATAATTCAGATATAACGTACGCCACGTTCGATTTCCACGAATATTGGTAAGTATTGTATTTTTTTTTGTGACGCGTAATTACGATGACCGCATGCTTCTCATTCTCATCGCGTTTATCTCGAAAATTTTGTGTTTAACGCAGTCGAGGAATGCACTTTGAGAATGTGTCTATTCTGGTTAATGCATTGGCTACGATGCTAGCAAACATGGGTTACTGCTGGCGCGATAAACAAGGTACGATTTGCATACAAAAAGGCGTGTTCCGCGTGAATTGCATAGATTGCTTAGATAGAACGAACGTGGTGCAAACCGCTCTGAGTAAAGCTGTTATGGAAATGCAATTTTCAAAACTGGGACTAATACCACCTGACGGAATTCTGCCTGCGAACATAAGACAGACTTTCCAGTCGCTTTGGGCTAATAATGGGGACATTATTAGCAAGCAGTACGCGGGAACGAACGCTTTGAAGGTTTGTACATCTTGAATTGCCGGTGCGAAGTCTACTGTCTTAATATGAACCATTAATTTTTTTTGTCCCTAATGATCTCTAAATAATCTGTGATTTCTTAATATTTTTATAGGGTGATTATACACGTACTGGGGAGAGAAAATTTACCGGGCTGATGAAAGACGGCATGAATTCCGCAAACAGGTAGAACTTTGTACTCCCATCTCTCACACTTTCGTACTCGCTTAATTTTTCCTCACTTTTCATTTTTCCTCCTTCATTTCCGACATCTCACGTGACACAGAAATCTTTTCACAGTTCAATCATGTGCCTCAAGGATAATATCCCAAGAGTTAAATATCTTGATGTTACTTTATGAAACCCTGACATTGTCCTTTCATTTTCCCCATAGATACTATCAGCAACACTTTATGGATGACTTGCGTCAGGCGGCAATAGATACGCTGCTAGGGAACTCGATTGATGTTCACCAACTGAACAACGATTGGTCACACTATTTAGATATCCTTGATAATTGCTGCCTCGAACTTATACCTATGAAACCACCAAATATACAACTTCAACTTGCTACTCATCCTGACTTCCTTTATGCCACTGCTCTATATAATTTAGCAAGGTTCGTTGCTTGCTTTTAGCTTGATTTTTTTGGAAAATGTACAGCAGTTACGTATTTCTAAAGATCAATTTCATTTCTCGTTAATCTTTTTATTACATATTAAATCATGTGGCGTAAAAAGAAATGCTCTTTGCTACTGTCAGCATGAGAAGTTGTTTTTGTTATACTATGAAAATCCTTCTGCATGTTCAATTTTGACCTTATATTCTTCCTTTTATTACATTTTAATTTGATTCACAAATCAATCATTTTTTATGCTGTATTCAATAAATTAGACATAAGAAAAGTCGCTTTCTCTCATTTTAACAATTTCTTTTTTGACAGAATATGATTTATTAAACTCTCTTTGAAATACTTTCTTGATGCTACTCTGCCTCTTTAGTTATTTAACTTTCAGAATACCGATTGTTGAGAATTAAAATACTCTTTGCAGATATTACTTGAATCGTTTCAAGGATGTCTACAGACAAGCGACGATTGATATGATGCTGGGAAATTCAGTAAGCGAAGAGGTATTCCTGGAACGCACGGACGAGGAAGATAACGCCGCGACTGCGATTCACGTGAAATTGCTGATTGAAGATTGCAAGAAATTACTGATACCCGACCCGGAAATTATTCTAGGCAGCTGGGGAGTTATCGATGCCGATCCTGTGTACGTATGAATAATTAAATGTTTCCCACGACACACTTACGTTGTGTCTATTTATAGAATTTGTTTCAATCAAATTTCTTGCTTCAGTACTGGCGACCCGACGGAGACGGAAATGGATACTATTCTGATATTGACCCGAGACAGTTATTACATTGCCGACTATGACGATCAAATCGATAAAGTCACAAACTATCAAAGAGTCCCGCTAGATGATATCATCTTAATTGAATTCGGCCAGCCTGAAAACACGGTCTCATTTTTCAAGAATAAACATTACCACTGTATTAGAATCAGTTATAAAGTGAACGGCGAGTACGGTTACTTTCACATGTTTCGTAGTACGAATTTAAGGTTTTTCAATAATATGGCGGTTGTGATTAAAACTGAAGAGGAAAGCATAGGTGAGAGCGTCTCCTTATTTCTACTTTGAACGTAACAATTTTGAACGAATTTTATATTTCATATTTTTAAATTACAGAATCTTTAAAGGCAATTTGCGAAGCTATTTCAGTAGCCATGGAGATAGCAAAATTGCCAAAGATTCCCGTAGCCATGAACGTTACGTTAGATAAGAGAAAGAGTAAATTAGTGAATGTTAAAGGCTCTACTGGATTATTGGACATTTCATCGTTTCCAGAACTGACAAGAAATGTATCTGAGACACAGTTGCTTGCTTTAAAGACAGCAGGTGTGTTGTTGTTGTTAAATTATTTTCACTATTTATATCACGTGTATACGCAATAAAATATTTATCAAAAATGAATTCTCAGGTACAAAAGCTTTAAGCAATATGTCGGAGCAATTCAGCAAATTGAACAAACTGAGTTTCGGTGCAAAGAAGTCAATTGATGTAGCGAAGAGTATAAATAAGACGGAGAAGGTATCGAAGCCGATCTTTACCGTCGGCAACAGTAGTATCTCGGGCAATATAGAAGAGAAGAGTAACAGCAGCAACAGCAGCAGCAGCAGCAGCGGCGGCAGCAGCGAGAATATCGAGATGACGCACATCCACGTGGAGAAGCCGGCGAACTTCAGCCACGACAAGCACCTGATGGAAGCCTATACACCGTTGATCGGTATTATTATGGGTGTGAAAAATACCAACGTTGTGGACGGCAATGTTTGCAGCGAGAGCAACGCGAACGAGGAATCGCCCAAGACGAGACCCAACAACATGAATTTGAATTCGAAGCCCGACATGGCGATCGACGCGTTGCATCTGATTCCGCAAACTAGCTCCGGCACTAGCACTCTCAGCGCTTCGCCGCTGAAGGCGACGACGCCGGAGATAACGGTGTACGACGTGGGGGACAACATGGGCGAGGATAGAGATCGAATGAATCATCCGCTGTCCTTGACGCTCTCCAAGAATATCAGCCATTCGACGGGGGATGTTGACAACAAGATGTCGACCGACATTAAGAGCGCTACTCTTCAAACGGACGGTAGATTGTTGGACGAGAAGAAGAGATCAGCCTCCGAGAAGGACTTGACGTTGAGCATCACGTCGTCCCAAAGTGAATCTGCCTTAAAGTCCATAAAGGAAAATATTACGAGCGTTACTAGTCCAGTAGCATCCACAGCCAAAGATATTCTGTTGCCGTTCTCGAAATTTGCAAAAGGTGTTCAAACGTTAGGGGCTAATTTAGATCCTAGAAAACTGAAGACAGGCCACGTAATGTCGGAACAGATGGAGGAGCGTCAGAAGCTTCAGGAAAAATGGGCCTCTTGTCAATCTAAACTCATTGCTTTATAAAAACTCTCTTTGCCCGAACGATCAGCTTTCCGAACGCGATCGATCATTGAATATCAATTTAGAGCTTATTGATGATTGTGTATTCGTAAATATTTGACAATATTTACGAATATAACGTGAGGAATTCAGTATGTCGGCGACGCAAATGCTCTCACGCACTCTTAAAAAAAAAAAAGGAATAAAGTATTAAAGCGTTGTATTATAGACAGTTTTATTATATATATAGATCGCATAATTTAATATGGAAAAATATCACGTAGAAAGTAGCGAATTTTGATCACAGTTTTGTAGAAAATCTTATAAATCGATCTCACTGCACCTATTTTCACATATTTCCACACTTCACACAAATATAACGGTTTATTGGTGTGAAACAAACGAAACAATTCAATGTAGGAAAGGAAACTATTTCCATGTTGTGACAAACAAAACGATTTAACACAGAGTACAATGTGGTCAATATTTATTCGTAATTGATTTGACAAGTTAATAAATGAGCACAAAAGAGAACAATTGACAAGTGAACTGAAGACTTTCTGTATTGCTATAGAATATTGTGCTGTTTTTTAGAAATATTTTCTTGACAAGCCAACATCTATACATGTATAAAATTTACTATACATCTGCTAAATTTTTGGGGCATATTTTTTATATTTTTAATGGCAACTTTCTGAAATTAATCTATTTAATGCGACCAATCGAAAAGGCATCAATACATAACAGTTTAACAGTATTAAATATTTTAGTCTTATCATCAAGTTTCATAATAGAATCGAGATTTTATTTTTTTAGCAGACAGATGCTATTTGTTTAATATATATAGATAATTTTTATATTAAAATGTATAACATAAAATGCAGATGAGACGATTTATTTGTATGGAAAATCGAAGAGAGAGAGAAGCTTCATAGTCAATTATGTAAATACAGAGAAGTATTTAAATACCGTTTAGTAAAATCTATACATAATGTGTATTGAATTAGTGATAAAAATATGAGTTTGAGATATGTGGTTACCAAACGCAGAACAAAGAGATAATTATATCCCTGTTAGCTTTTCGAGAAGTGTGTGTTAGAATTTTTTTTAGATAGAATAGATAATACACAATTGTTTTAAGGTCAAGTGAAGAAAAACGCAAGTAGAAAAATTAAAAGGGTTTTCGTTAAAAAAAAGTGACTAAGTTATAAATTTATATATGTGGTATTTACAAAATAGTTGATATAATTTAAGCATGCAGCCCGGCAGAACTGAGTAGTAAGTTCATCATGTATCGAAGTCGCGTTTGTATTAGTGTTATATAATTTTAGATGCTTTAACGATTGTTACATACTTAGTACACAAGTATTTCAAGAGCCAGCAAACGCAGTATTATATCGAGTATATGCTTAAGAAGCTGTATGGAGCTGCAGAACACATTCTCCTTCGTCTACGTGTAAATCAACGATGTAGGAGGAAATTAGGCACAAGTGGAAAAATATTGTGTAAATCTTATATTTATTATAGGGGACTATACAAAACATGACTTTACATTGCCCACTGATGTAAATAATCTATCTCATTTCGATGAGTTTCCATATTACCCGTTGAAAACGCTTTTGGAAACGCATCGACATTATAGTCAATCCTATAAGCTCGTGTATTTTTAGCGAATATTCTTTTTACTGTCAGCAATAGTCTGTGATACAATTTTACAGAATGCACAGAGATTAAACTCACGAGCGGAGTTTGTACGGAAGGCGTGCATTCTAAAAGATATTTGCAACGCTTTAGGATAAGAATGAAACTAGGCTGTTTTCAAATACGCATATATTCTTTCTTAAAGAATTTGAATTGACGTTTAATTAACGCAAATTCTTATTTTGTATTTGTTTGCTCTACTCTTAATTAAAAAAATAATAATAATTTGGAAAAATCTTAATTTTTTGTTCAATGAATGCAATGTAAGGTCCAAAGCAAGTTTATTAACAAACCTGTGTGATGTGTGCTATTGCATCTAGCTGCAGTATTACGAATGACCTGCAAAAAATAGGTGAATTGGCGAAAAAATTTTTTTTTATACAAAAAGTAGATAGCGAATGTCTCAAATTAATAATTGATTGAAAAAATTGTTCTATCTTTTCTTCATTAAGAAAAAAGACTTCGGAAGATTTTTTTTCCTCCGAGCTTCAGATAAAAACATTATCACATACATATTTCTATATACATATGTGTGTACATGTATAATAAATTATTTCTTAATTCACCTACTCTTTGCGAAATGAAAACTCGTATGTACTACGTTATACTCGTACGTACAAAGTCATGCGTAAAAACTATAGAGGCTTGACATGCCCCTTACATATGTGTCTGCTATTGTGTTTCCAGGAAATTGTAATAATAAGAAAATTCGCGTATACACCAAACAGCAAACGTTCACAGCACTTGTAGAACAAATGATAATAAAACACATTTTTGACTTGTGAGTCGCAATTGAATTTCTTCAATTTACATTTTCCAAACAAATCTATATTGTTGAAGCTGTTTAAAATATTCCAATCGTAAACAATTCAAAATATACATATTTCAAGAGGCTAATTTCGTGATGTGTCTAAATCAACTTTATTATTATTTTTTTCTTCGCAATGCAATTAATTAACTGCAACGCAAATATTTAAAATGACTTTATTTCACAATCAGTTTAATTCGTGAAACTTAAAAGGCAATCATATTTGGCGCGCCAAACGGTTCGGCTCAAGCGATAAGAATGTCGTGAATTGTCGCGTTTGCCTGTGGCTTTGATTTACCATCTGATGAATGCACAACCTAAACTCACCTATCAATTGTTTACATGACAGAATGGACGACGCACGTGGTGTGGAATTTTTATGGGAAAATCCAATAAATCATCCACAATGTCCTCATGGTAAATCTCATAAACCTGTACACATCAAAGTTCATTACATTTACATGAAAAAAGTTAATCGATTCTTTTATATAAGGAAATTAAATATTTTTTTTTCGCAGGACCAACATTACTACTGGGAAGATATGTCAAGGATGAAGTAAAGAGATTTTATGCTTGCTCTGCTTGTCGTGACAGAAAATTGTGCAGATTCTATTTAGAATATGGTCAAGAATTGTCAAAATCTCAAAAGCGTACGTGGGATCTGGAAAATAAGAGATTCGCCCGGCGCTATGTTCATCGAGAATTGTACATTCGTTTTAACAAGCTCGAGACGGAGCCGAAAAGACATTATTGCCATAATTGTGAGAAATTAATATTTGATTCTGAAAAAGACAAGCACGTGGATCATGAGGTTACAGTGAATTTAACCGATTATCAGCTGCATCATCCAACAGAGCTTTTAAAACCTTTGGAGAATGCGAAGAAGGAAGCGCAATATTTATTCTCCAAGAAATCTACAGAGGATATAATACGTATGCTTTTGAAACTTGGAGCTAAGCAGATCTTTTGTATCGGCACACCGAGAATACATGAATATATCATCGAGCATCATGCAGATAAAATGTCGTCTCTCCTTTTAGACTTCGACGGAAGATTTGTGAGTATTGTTAGCAGGAATTATTAATTATTACATCAATTTATAATATTGTAATATTAATATTGTTATTTGAATAATTTTTAGAAGTACATATATATAAATTTTGACAAATGTTTTTTCACATATAATTCTAGCATAACTTTCTTGGACCGCTGGATTATTGCTGGTACAATCTTTTCAATCATCACTTTTTTAACAAAGATGCCATTGACGTGTTTAAAGATTTTCTTACTCAAAATGGGGGAAAGGACACTTACTTGATATGCGACCCTCCGTTTGGTGGCCGTTTGGAACCCATATCATACACGATAAAAACGATATCAGATCTGCATAGAAAATTAAATGAACATGTTCATGATGATAATTTTTTCTTGAGAATCATGTTTATATCTCCATATTTCATGGAGCACATAATGAGAGAGAAGAGCAATCCACCACATGTGACTGGTGGCTTGAGAGATTTAAAAATGTCTGATTATAAAGTAGATTATGATAATCATCCCCTATTTATGTCGGAGAAACATGGTAGAAGGCAAGGTTCTCAAGTGAGAATTTTTACAAATATACCGTTGAATCTACTGGAGCTTTCTTCATCTGATGGATATAAATTTTGTCGGGATTGCGAAAAGTGGGTTTCTAGTGAAAATAAGCATTGCAAGAAGTGTAGAGAATGCACTTCCAAAGACGGTCAAACATACAAGCACTGCGACACGTGCAAACGATGCGTAAAGCCTACTTGGCAACATTGCCGTATTTGTAAAAGATGTATGTTGAAGAAACACACGTGTGGTTCAAAACCGAATATTGTTGGAAGATGTTTTAACTGTGATAAATTAGGTAAGAACCGATGATCACTTTTATTTCGTTTAACTGTTGCTTCCATTAGTAATATTTTATTAATTTATTTACAGGTCATACTAAAAACGAATGTCCTAATTTACCTGCTATTGAAATCACAATTGAGCCAAATATAAAGGAACGCAAAACGGACTGTGAATTAAAGACGTCTTCAATTAAGAAAAGCAAAGTTGGACATTCTAAGGAAGTTGTTAAACAAAAAGTTGTATTCGACGAGAAGGAAGTCTTAAAACTAAGAGAGGAGTATTTAAAATTGAGAAAAGAACAAGATCTTAAAAAAATAAAAATCACATCGAGCCAAATATAAAGAAACGCAAAACGGACTGTGAATTAAAGACATCTTCAATTAAGAAAAACAAAGTTGGACATTCTAAGAAAGTTGTTAAGCAAAAAGTTGTTTTCGATGAGAAGGAAGTCTTAAAACTAAGAGAGGAGTACTTAAAACTGAGAAAGGAACAAGATCTTAAAAAAATAAAAAATCGCATCGAGCCAAATATAAAGAAACGCAAGAGAGACTGTGAATTAAAGACATCTTCAATTAAGAAAAGCAAAGTTGGACATTTTGAGGAAGTTGTTAAACAAAAAGCTGTCGTATTCGATGAGAAGGAAGTCTTAAAACTAAGAGAGGAGTACTTAAAACTAAAAAAAGAACAAGAATTTAAAAAAATAAAAAACTGCAACGAGCCAGATACAAAGAAACGCAAAACAGACTGTGAATTAAAAACGTCTTCAATTAAGAAAGGCAAAGTTGGACGTTCCAAGGAAGTTGCTAAACAAAAAGCTGTCATGATCGATGATAAGGAAGTCTCAAAACTGAGAGAAAAGAACAAGAAATTAAAACAAATAAAAAACCGCAACAAATAAAATAAAGGAGTTACTGTAACTGTATTCGTATAATATAATACAGTAAGTGTATAATTATATATGAATACGATTGGTGTAATATCGTTATATCCATATTAAAAAAATTAAAAATTAAAAAAAGATATTTTTGTTAATTTTTTTATCTTTTTAAAATTTCATTTAGCATTTTTAATAAAGAAGGTAGGAATTAGCTTCTGCAACAATGAACCGCAAAATCTTATTATACATACATTTATTCTCGCATAGAGATCGGATTTTCATAATCTTTAGAGTGCTGTGTTGCAAGTAGGAATATTCCCGAATACTCGGAAGGAATTTTAAGTACTGAGATTCAATAATATAAATAGCCGGGCAGGCTCCTCGAGGTACAGTAGTGTTTTTCCGATCGTCTGTATATCTCGCGCAACGTCTGTCTCGGCATCTCGGCAAAATCTATTCAGGATGTTAAAGGAGCTCGTTGTTCTTATGAGCTTGATTTTTCTGAGTTATGCTTGTTTGATTACGAATTGTCCTCGTGGCGGAAAGAGGAATAATATTGCATCTTCTTTGGAAACTGTTGCGCGGGAAGTATGTTATATTCTAAATTTTATTTTTCTCTCTCTCTCTCTCTCTCTCTCCCTCCCTCCCTCCTTTTTCTTTCTTTCTCTTTTTTAGCAAAATATTTGCACATCTGATGATATTTTCATAATTTATAGATAAATACATAAAATGTAATTTGTTCATAATTTGATTCGTTATACAATATTTTCCCAGTGTCCTTCGTGCGGTCCTAATCATCAGGGTCAATGCTTTGGGCCTTACATTTGCTGTGGTCCCAGTATCGGTTGCTTCATTGGAACACCAGAAACGTACCGATGCAGAAAGGAAAGTCTGTACACCAGGCCCTGCATTGCTGGATACGCAATGTGTCGTGGAAATACAGCGAGATGCGCTTCAAATGGAATTTGCTGTTCGCAAGGTAAATTTAAAAGATATCCAGTATATTGGATTTAAAAGAAAATTATTTTTAAATCCAAATTTGTATCCATAGCATGGCACTTTTAATCGAAATGAATCAAGTTTGCATTAGAAGTTTGCTACCGAATTGGAGCATTATGTAGATAACTAATAGAAAACTTTCTTTAAGTAATACACAGAGATTGAATCCTAGCAGTAATTAAAGTAATTAATTCACAATTAGAAATTTGAAGTCACCAGTCATGTTGAAAAATTTTTACATACACACATATGTATACATATACATATATACATATTATATATATATATATATATATATGTTAGAAATTAGAATTGTTTAATATATATGCATGAAATATTTATATGAATAACGTTTTGTCTTTAGAATCCTGCAACATGGATACGTCGTGCAAAATTTCTGATGTTGGCAACGATCGGAAACTCGATGCTAATTTGAATGTGATACTCTCAGGCAATGAAGTCTCTAGCGATTTATTTTAATAATATAACTAATTAATTTCATAATTTCATCATTTAATGTTCTGATATTTTAACTTATACAAAAATATAACTATGCAATGTCGATAATGAAACAAATAAAATTGCAAATCTATAAAATGCTGTGAAAAGTTTTTTTAAATTGCATTTATGTGATAATACAAATTTTATATTCTATATATGTGAATAAATTTTATTATGCATTATTAATTCTTCTGACACGGTAAAAAATTTTTCATCATATTAACTTATCATACATAATATATATATTGTTCAATCTATTATTCTGTTGCATTCCCTCATTCAGTTTCTCTGTGCAAATAAAATTCCAATAAAATATGCAGTAAAAATATTTTGCAATCCTTTCTATCAATCGTTAACGAAACTTCGTAAAAGGCGATTAATAACGATCGAATTATGTATTTTTAAAAATCCTATATTTGTAATAGCAAGATATGTCTACAAAAAAATCAAATCTCTTTCAGTTTCTAAGCACAATTTTTAAGCAAAATTTTAATTAAACCGGACAGGACTTATTGTTAGATTCGATCATAAAAATGCAGCATAAAAATGTGGGTACTTAATATATAAGCTTGAAGGATTGAATGATCGATTTGAAAAATATCGCTTAAGCGATATTTAACAATATTTAATAGTTTATAATGTTTATATGATATATATATATTATATAAACTATTATAAATATTGTTACAATAATCTATAAAACATATTGTTTACATTATAAAAACTCGATTATTGCGTCCATTTCGAATTAATTTTAAGCGCCTCTTTACGATTTATTTCGTTCGGAGAAATTATTAACAAGAGAAAGTATGTTTTGCTTACCTGATTACATTCCCGAGTGGAAGAAGTAGAGGCGCCGCGGCGCGTCATTATGAAGTTGCAAGTGAAATTACGCAAGACACCCACGAAATCATTTGATTGTATAAAATATTCAAAAGCGAGTTATAAGAAAAAATTAACTGGCATCTCGGTACTTTTGGAATTCCTTATATATCTTCAGGACCTTCAGGTACTATATTTGTAACAATTAATTGAACAATTACGCGCAAGCGAGCCGACGTTCAAATTTTCGGCCAATCGATTCTAGGCGACGACTCGCACGAGGTTCGCCGAAGGCGTCAACCGACCGACGCGCCTCACGGACGATCGGGCCTATCGGGAGCGCGAGGATTCAAAATTCGATAGTTGTGTCGACCGGGCGCCTTCCGCTCCGGGAAGTTTTTACGCGAAAATGGACGCTTCTGTTGGACGCGACCGGAATCGAGGCGCATCCGGATTCCAGCGAGACCGTTGATTCTCGTCACAGTCGTCCGCAGGGGCTCGCCCGAGGCTCGCGTCGCTTATATCCGTCATCCGAAGATGGCGTCTCCCTGGTCGCGCGTGGCCTGGACCTCTCTGGCGAGGACGAACAGTTCGAGGTGCTCGAGCTTGTCGCGACTCGCGACCCTCGTTTTCGCCGAACGGCACGCTGGTGCTCGGTCGTTTCACTCGCATCAACAGCAGCAGCAGCACAGACGGGGAATACTCGGTGCGACCAGAGCGAGGAAGTTCCTAACCTGTTGTACCGCGCTCGCCTCGGCAGCTGGTCTCGGCTATGCCCTGTACAGCCGGAGCAATGACGCTCGATCATGGGGAATCACGACCCCGACCGTCCTGGACTCGCATGTCGTTCACGCCATCTCGCCGTCCGATCGCAATCGGAACCGGGACAAGTTCAATTTCATAGCGGACGTGGTGGAGGTAACCGCACCGGCTGTCGTGTATCTCGAGATCAGGGATAGCAGCAGGTAAATAACTCGGCCCGTAAATCGGTAACTCGCGTAATGGCTTTGTATATATTTATATATATATTCTTTATGCTTACATTTAATATATATTTACAACAGCTGGAGTAGATACTTTAACGCTGCTTGTGGAGGTAATTATTCAGTTTAGCGGTTCTCACCTCCGAAAACGGTGAATTTGTGCACATTCGTGTTTTTACACACAAAGTGAAAGAGTCGAAAAAAGCGTCGCTCTAACCCTCCCCCTCCCCCGCGAACCGGGATATTAATTGTTAAAAAGTTGAGGTTAGGAAATCTGTCACATCAACGATACGCGTAGCGACGTTCACGTGCCCTGCGGCCACATGCATAAGGTAACTGGCCCTATTAGTGTGCCCTGTACCTATGTATTTGTGTGCTTTTATGTTCAAATAAGTCATAAAAATAAACTAGTACAAATATATAAAGTATTTCTTTTTATTAAGTTAAAGTATTAACTTAATAAAAAAAATACTTTGTCTATATATTTGTACCAGTTTATTTTTATGTTTAAATAAGTCGTAAAAATAAACTCATACAAATATATAAAGTATTTCTTTTTATTAAGTTAAAGTATTAACTTAATAAAAAAAATATTTTGTCTATATATTTGTACCAGTTTATTTTTATGACTTAATTAAATATAAAAGCACATTAATAGGTGCAGGGCACACTAATAGGGACAGTTATCCTATGTCAAAATGCGCAAAACACAAAATATTGTGTAAAGTTCGTAAATCCTGGAACCTAGCTAGTTTCACGTTGTAAAGTGTATGAGTGGAGGCAACTTCCTAATCTCAACAATCATCAACAATCATTAACTGATTGATATTTCTTTGATTTCTCTCGGTTCGCGGGGCGGAGCGACGCTTCTTTTTTTTTGCCAGATTCTTTCATTTTACGCAAAAACGCAACTGAGCGTAAATTCATTTCGTTTTGGAGACGGGGCCGCCGAACTGAATAATTGCTCCCTTCTGATCTGTAAGCAACAGTATAGATTTTTTCACGGGGAGACCAATCGCCACCAGCAATGGATCGGGATTTATCATCCGTCAGGATGGTCTAATACTGACAAACGCCCATGTCGTTGTAAATAAGCCTAATACAACAGTGAAGGTAAACGTGAGTCCTTTTATAAGCATGCTGTGTTAGAAGTAATATTAATTAGTATCCTTGACTGTACATATAATTTTTTCAAAAGCTCTAAATCTATTCTCTCTCCGATCATTATCTGATAGAGTTTATGATAATAATTAATTAATAGTGTCCTTATTGGAAAAATTGCATTTATGTCTCTTATTCTGTCACGTAGGTACGGCTGTACGACGGTAGTACGTGTACTGGGACCATAGAAGACATCGATTTGCAAGGTGATCTTGCTACCGTGCGAATAAATAGGGTAACTTATTTGACTTTGATGTTACGAACGTTGAAATATCTGTTGATCGCTGAACTTATTGCTATTTAATCGCACAGACCAATCTGCCGGTGATGAAACTCGGTTCTTCGGCCAATATCAGACCGGGGGAGTTTGTGGTGGCTATTGGCTCCCCGTTGGCGCTCAGCAACACCATAACGAGCGGAATAGTGAGCAGTGTAAATAGACCCAGTCAGGAACTTGGTATAAATAACAAACAAATGGGATACATTCAAACGGACGCGGCAATCACGGTTAGTAACAGAGTTAATTCCGGAGTAAATATCGAGTATATCATATGTATCATGTAATTGGTAAATTGCACTTTCCTCCAGTTTGGAAACTCGGGTGGGCCGCTGGTGAATTTAAACGGAGAGGCGATCGGCATAAACGCGATGAAAGTGACGCCCGGGATTTCGTTCGCCATACCCATCGATTACGCGAAAGAATTCTTGAAGAAAGTGGAATTACGCAAGAGAAACAAAGGTAAGTCGAAATGGCTATTCTTAATTTATTCCATCAATGCAAAGATACTGATTACATGTTATTATTTTTGCAGACGTAACACATAACAAAGCACCCATGAGAAGATATATGGGCATCACAATGCAAACTCTGACTCCGGATATTATAAATGAGATACAACAGGATACTAATGAATATATGAATGGAGTCCGACATGGAGTTTTTGTGTGGAAAGTAATACATGGGTCTCCAGCTCATCGGTAAGTCATCTAATACAGAAATATTTGATTGTCACTATCTTAAATTTTAATTGTACTGAGAATTTATTTTCCAAATTAATTTTTTCTTAAAAGTATAGCATTAATGATATGTGAGCTACAAGTGATGGAAATCAAAAGGATTTTTGTAAAAAATCTTTTTACAAAATAAACATCAGACAGATAACAAATAGTTAGTAAAATATAAGAATAGCAATGACTACTTGATATTTACATATACTTTATCAAGATTAAAATTTGATATTTGTAAAAAAATGACTTGATGTTAAAGAGATTGCAACAAATGAAACGTGCGGAGATGTATTTATGAAAAGTCGAAAAATTTAACTATCTCCTTGTTATTACAGTGCTGGATTGCTACCTGGAGATATAGTGACGCATGCTAATGGCGAGCCAGTGCTGAGTTCAAGCAATGTTTATAAAATGTTAGAAAAATCAGGACCGATAAAGTTACAAGTTTTAAGAAAAGATCAAATTTTATACATACAAGTTGTGCCTGAGAATATATAGTTGAATTTATTAAGTGATTTCGATTTAAAAAATTCTATTCGATCAATGTGAGAGAGAGAGAGAGAGAGAGAGAGAGAGAGAGAGAGAGAGAGGAGGGAGGGAGGG